AAGTGTCACACTTGCATCGCTCGTACTCTATGTACAGGGCTGGCTAAAAAGAGAAAGCCCGGATTTTTTGGTTTTTTGGAAGCGCTTGGGGATCCTAAATAAAGATAAACGGTTTCAAAAAAAAATGGCCGATTTCAAAAGGAAATATGGGAAATTGCCGGACGTTTATTGATGTTATTTGAAGACCGTGTCCGCCTGCCGGACATTTAGTCACTGCGTATAATAAAACATTTCTTTATTTGTGTCTATTAAAGAATATCATCATCAGGCAGGGTTTCTAATTATGGTTGATCAGAGTATTACACAGCGGAAAGAAACAGACATTGAAATATCACTCCACCAAATGTTTCATCCTATTTTTCTCACTTTTATCATTTTTCCCCTGGGCGTTTCTTCCTCCGTGAACAAACAGAAATCTTTCAATAGAATATCAAGTGATCGGCCTGAAGTGATGCGTGAACAAACAGAAATCTTTCAATAGAATATCAAGTGATCGGCCTGAAGTGAGGGGTTATGTGATATTCACCGATGGCGTAGCCTGATGTATCACACGGCCGATAACTGGTTTGTTCTTACATCGGGGAGGTTTTCTGAATAACATAATTATAAACTATGCTTCCTTTACACTCTGTGCTACAGTGGTAACAATGCTTAATGTGGCAGACTAGTTTGTTTGAATATGTTTGCGCAGATGAATTTCCAGCAGCCGTTAAGAAAAGACAACGTACAAATAAAAAAAGTAGATGAAAAAATTTCTTCCCTGGAAGATTTAAAAGCCACCCCTGGCTTTAAAGACACTTGGAAATTGGGACAGGGGTTTTGCGAGATATTCAACCCAGAAGAACAATGAAAACCGAGCTTAAGTAAGAACAAATAACGGTTCAAGTCCATGGCTTACAGTATTTTCAAACAGCCTCCATTTTCCAATAAATGCTCTTAAAGGTATGACTCATAAATCAAAGTGAGCCTGCCCACACTACTCCATACTTCTTCCATTTAAGACTCTCTCTAGGATATATGACCATGCTGCTGTATATTTTTTAAAAAACTAACCCTGATAGTAAATTCTGTGCTGTATATTCAAATATTTTTTTGCAAGAATACAAAATTTGCATGCCCATGAATATACAACTTGGAAAACTTTGAACACAAGTTTATCACGAATGAACTGATCATGAAAACATTACCTATATAATAGTGCATAAATATTTTCATCCTATAAACTTAAAAACTCTCATAGAACCTTGCTTCGGAACGTTTTCTTAAGCGTAAGATGCATTGGCTCCTAATTATACGCTTGTTATTAGCCTCTGAAACAAAATCTATTTATTTTAGAGAAGAGCAAAGTCTAGGAATTTTGCTCTCAGATATTACTTCAAAAGTGAGTTAAAATAAACTTCTTCGTATGTGAATAAAGTTTTCAGAATATAGAATTACTTACCTTGTTTTTTCGAGTGTCTTAGAGCACCTACAGCGTAGGGCATTGTAGCTCTTTTAGATAATTCTCCAGTAATAATTCGTTTTGCTTGAGTGCAAACATGAACACAACTACCATGCTCCAGCACTCATTGTATGAATTAATCGGATTTCGATATTTCTGAATTATTTATCCATTTATCCTTGAACGTGTAGATAAGCAATGTAACAAGAATCAAGTTTTCTCATAGAATATAATGTTTATATATAAGCGTGTTGAAATAATCACATTTCATTTAAGGTCGTTTTTATTGCTAAGAAACTGATATATGATTAGAAAATTTAGGCGGGAAGTTGACTGCAGAAGGGCGGGTTTTTGGCGGGAAAATGCTAATTATAAATGACGAGTCTCAATGGCGCCTTGCTAGCAGTTCAAACAATTTCTAAATCTTTTCTATTTTCAACGAGAAGAAGAATATCAAATTTTCTGTGTCCTAATCCTGATTATATTCGTAGATATTTAAAGCTCCCAAGCCCCTCTAAAAGTCATTCATTGTTGTTTTAATATACTGAGGGGGTGGTGGTGAGAGAGAAATATACTGAGGGGGTGGGAAGGAGGAAGAAGTGCTCGCGAAGGTATTATCTCTGCGTTCCTAGTCGTTCACTGCGTTTCCTTGAAGTTTTTCAAGACTTTACCTTCAACCCCCACCCCCTTCCCTCCATCGAAACCGCTATCACTCTACCTACATTATGGAGTCAGGATCATTGATCAGTTTGTTCACAATTTATTTGCGTCTTTTACGTCATAATTCTTTCCATTCGTAATACGTTCCTTGTGGTTACCCTCCTATTCATCTATCTCTCACCTTTTATTCATTTTCCATATTGATTATAGTTTCATTTACTCAAAGCTCTCATACTATTCCGCGACAATGTTTTAAMTTTTTTAAATTTTTGTTGTTCATGCATTGCAAACAAAATTCACAGTGCCTTGTCTGTGCGTGTATTTTCTCTCATTCCACACAGTTTAGTTTGATTTTCACATCTCAGCACATCATTCCTCTATGCTTTTCGCTCGCTTTCAGCATCTCTTCACCAAGCTGGTTGCATAGCTGAGCAAAATCTTGCGTAATCTCTGCCTTGCATGTGGGAGATTCCTTCTTGTAACAGTCCAAGAAAGACTGAACATCTTGGCACATGTTGGAGTTCGTCTCCATATTTTTTGTGAATATCAGAACGCACTTTTTGTGAACTAAGACTGAGCATTCGGCTGAGCTGTCCGCACCTGTGGTGAATAGTAAATCTATGCTTATTTTGAAGGAAAAAATATTCAAGGGAATAAAAAATAAAGGAATTATAGCTAWTTTTTCATTCACTTTCACGTTTATCTAAAGGATAGTGTATTTTTTAGCATCAGATAAAATATGTATCACGATGTTGTTATGGAAAGGTCCACATAAAGTGTGTGCCTGGACAAGTCACGAGGGAAAGCGATCCCATACAGAAGAACGACTCCTAATCCGTGATATTTCGTTGCATTAAACTTAAAGCAAATTCTTTTATCAATTTGAACAAGAAAACGAAGCGAAAACTCACCAATATCAATGGCACGATGTTTCGTAGTGGCTGTTGGAAAGAAGTTCAAAATGTATTAGTGCGCATGTCAGGGCGGTACCCTGAAACAACTTCTAGTGCTATGGCTAGGCTGATCAAAGTCACGGCACGGCTAACTCACAGATAGAATTGGAATTAAACTTATTAGTGTTTGTGGATGGATGAAAATAAATCGGACAACTCGAAGAAAAACCCTGAAATGAAAGGAAAAGACCCAAAAAAACCTCTACTGCCATGTGGTGGATCAGAGTCCAGGAATCAAACTACCCGAGACCCCAGAGGTGATTTACAAAAAGTTCAATACTGAGGTGTGCTTACCTTGGACCTTAGTCCTGAGTGTTGTGTACACGTGGTCGGGACACAAGTTTAATTTCTTGTCCATCATACCATGCTGAAGAACCACGTATSTATAGTCGTCAAGGAACGGTCCACTACAGCTCGAAGTTTCCAGGCACGTCATAAACGACTGAGTAAAACAAATTTGGTATCGAATCAAAAACATTATACTTCTTGTTATTCTCTTAAGGGAGTAACTTTTGTTCCTCCACAAACGTGGATAATACATGTAGTCATGAACTAGAGAGTTGGCGGTCTTGTGGATGAATTAAAATGATCAATCAAATGTGGCGGCATGTTTTCTATTATCTATGACGCTTGCACGTCAAAAATAGCCTTGAAGCCTTCAAACTTTATCGAACTCTGAAATAACCTCTGGTCTGATCTAAGTCAGGGCACGGCTAACTCACGTGCACAGATCGAATTGGATTTTAGTGAGTTAGGTTTTGCGAATTGAGAAAAACTAGGGGAAAATCTAAAATCAAGAGAGAGAACTAACAACTCTTCTCACATGTGATTCCGAGACCAGACCCCAGAGGCGAAAATTAATACTCTCAACTTACCTGCATTCCATTGCAGTACACTTCCAAATCAGGTTCGCCTGCRCTCTTTTCAAACAAACTCTTGAATTGATGATTACAGCTCTTGATAACTTGGAACTGACAATCCGAAGGTTCGATCTGACGAAGAGCCAGTTCGCTCTCCTCTTGACCTGCAATTTCTTCCTCGAGGGTCGCTGTAGCCACGAGAACAAGTAACTGGAGCAGCAATATAATCTTTTGTTTCATTTTGACAATTAAAACTGAAAAATGGATGGAAAAACTGAATGAAAATATGGGAAAGGAACAATTTTCAGATCAAAGATTTTTCACTTATTTTTGGCAGTGGATAGCTGATAATGATAGCTTCGTAATCGATGTAAAGGCAAAAAGTTTTTCCTGACTGATTCAGTTAGTGAGAAACCTTAAGGCAAGCAGCAAAACTCCTGTCTTCAGAAATCAGATGAATGTTACCTTTTGGATCGATGGAAATTCAAACTCATTCTTTGATAAAATAGAAGAAAAATAACCTGAACGATGAAGGTAAATCCCTAGTCTCATCCGGACAACATATGATTTAAAGCGAAAAAAGTTTTAGATAGGCCTTAAAATCGCGGCTAAATAACATTTCTACTTGCATTTTACTTGCCCGCCATTTTGCCATCCCCCCCTGCGCATCAAGGATCAAATGGATTTTTTCCCCAAAAACACGATTCGCGATTTGATTGGTTAATCGTTTTTCCATGGCCTCAGATCACCTGGTTGTTATCAGCCCTTAAACACTTATAGCTTCGGTTTTGTTATCCAAGTAKTATGAAGGCCATACTCTGTACTTAAACCAGCTCCCGTCACGGAATGACCTTGAGAAAACAGATGGTAACCTTAGGCCAGGTTTATTTATTTTGTTCATTTTCTCTATGAGGTGGTCGTTAGTGAGTCTGTCTTGTCTTTGATCCAATGGCCACCTCTAGACCTTATTCTTCTTGTTGCAATTTTTTCAATTTCTTTCTCTAAAAGTTGCGCATGAGAAGACACTGACATGAATATGGATTTAACACAAACAAAGGATCTTATTCTCAAGCGAATGACACGTGAACGTTCGTATTGCACCAAGACAAATAAGGTCTACCGATAGATTGGGAAATCCAGGTTCTCTTATATCTCTAGGTGAAACGGATTCAAAAATACTATACCATATCTACTATTAAACTGCTTGCAAACTCCTCTGGTTAAGACGAATTCAAGTCGGGCTACGCACATGCTGACTATTTGTTTGCTTACCTCTTTTCTCTTCCAAATTTCCAAAAATACCACACACCAAAACGACATGAAGACAGCAAAGAAAACCGTTCCCTGATAATCAAACGCGTGGGAATAGCGCGCGTACTTGTAACTCGTCGTCAATGACCAGAAACTGCAATTATTATCGCACAGTGGACACATGTAGAAGAGTTTACTATAGTTCTTGTTGCAGACATCCTGACATTAGCCGCTGCTTCCTTCCTTAACGCTTTTCGAGAGTATATCTTCTCAGTACTTTTCTTCTCTCCCCTCCCTCTGCCCCTCCCCTCCCCCTTCAATCAAAACTCTATCACTCTGCCTATATAATGGAGTCAGAAGTTTGATCAGTTTGTTTACATTTTATTTGCATCTTCTACGTCGTAATTCTTTCCATACATGATACTTGGCTACGTAATTACCCTAACGCGTTTTCCTAGCTCACGATCATCAGACAAATATATGTCCAACCTCACATTCTCTCACTCTAACCCTTTTCCACGTTACCCGTAGATTTGTTTACTAGTTAAAGCTCTAATATTATTCGAATTTTTTTATATCTTTATTGTTGTTGCTTATTGCAAACAAAATTCAGTGCTTAGTCTGTACATGTATTTTCTCTCATTCTTGGGAGAACCAAAAAGCGACAAAAATGGTATTCCTGCTACAAATCCTTCTCTCTTTTTTCCCTTCTTTTTCTTCTCTTTTTCTTTTCTTTTCCTCTTCTAATTAACTCAAATATTTCAGCTATATATTCATTGCATACCAAGCTATATATTAAGTACACTATACTTCTGCACAGTTTGTTTGATGTTCACATCTCAGCACATCATTCCTCTATGCTTCTCGTTCGCTTTCAGCATCTGTTCACCAAGCTGGTTGCACAGATGAGTAAAATGTTGCGTAATCTTGGTCATGCATTTGGGAGATTCCTTCTTGTAACAGATCAAGAATGACTGAACATCTTGGCACATGTTAGAGTTTGTCTCCATGTTTTTTGTGAATGTTTTAACACACTTTTTGTGAACTTCGACGGAGCATTGGGTAGAACTGTCCGCCCCTGTGGTGAATATTAAATCCATGCATATTTTACTAAACTAATATTTCATTCACTTCTACGTTTATCTAAAAGAGAGTGTATATTTTTAGCATCAAACTTGATGCTTTTATGGACTGGCACACATAAAGTGTGGCTGGACACACGAAATTAGGAGCGCGATCCCAGAAGAACGACTCCTAGTCTGCGAAATATTTCCGCGCGACATTTCGTTACATTAGATTTTAAAAGCAAATTCTTCTATCGATTTGAACAAGAAAACGAAGCGAAAACTCACCAATGTCGTCGATGAAAAGATGTTTCATGGTGATAGCTGTCGAAAAGAAATTCAAAATGTATTAGTGCGCATGTCATCAGGGCTGATGCCTCTGAAAAACTTCTTCAATAGGACGTTTGCATGATRGCGTCATTGACCTCTACTACCAGACTCCCTTGCACACTTTCTTTTGTACAGTTAATTAGCACCAATTGTCAATCAAAACGTCCTATTCTAAATTTTATCGCTATCCCTAAAACARCCTTTGGTTTGATTGAATCATTAAAGCCAGGACACAGCCAGCCCACAGATAAGCTAGCTTATAGCCTTTGCGGAATATTACCCGTCATAAAACCCGGAAAACCGGAAGACAAACCCTAAAATCAGGGGAGAGACCTTATAAACTCTGCTCACATATGATGAAAAGCCCAGGAGTCAAACCCGAGAACATACCCTTGCCAAAAAAGATTTTACAAAATGATTAATCGTGAAGCGTGCTTACCTTGGACCTTAGTCCTGAGTGTCGTATAGACGTGATTGGGGCACAAGTTCAGTTTCTTGTCCATCATACCATGCTGAAGAACCACGTATCTATAGTTGTCAACGAACGGTCCCCTGCAGGTCGAAGCTTCCAAGCACTTCATAAACGACTGATTAAGACAAAATTTGGTATTTATCAAAGCCGTTATACTTCTTGTTTTTCCCTTAGGAGAGTAATTATGGTTCCTCCATGGAAGATAGTCATAAACTAGAGAGGTTGACGTTCTTGTGGAGATAATGATAAATCGAATATGGCATACATGCACGGGATTTTTTCAATGAGTTTTGCACGTCCAAAATAGCCTTGAAGCCTTCAAACTTTATCGAAATCTGAATCAACCTCTGGGCTGATACTAGCCAGGGCAACTCAAGCACGTGCACATATCGAATTGGAAGGGAGCTGCGTTTTGTGCGAAAGGAAAACTAGAGAACCCCTGAGAAAGACCCGCCTTAAATCAAGGGAGAGACCTACCAAATTCTACACAAACGTGATGCCGGGTACAGGAATAGAACTCGAGGTGACAATTAATACTCTCAACTTACCTGGATTCCCTTGCAGTACAGTTCCATACGATTCCTTGCAGGTCCACCTGGCTTCCTTTCAAACGAACTCTTGAACTTTTGATTACAGCTCTTGATAACTTGGAACTGACAATCAGAAGGATCAAGCTGCGGAAGGATCAGTTCGTTTTCCTCGAGCTCTTCGCGTTGGTCTTCTTGCCTTTCCTCTTGACCCGCAATTTCTCCCTCGTTCTCAGAATTTTCAGGATTTTCGGGATTGGACTCACGAGTCGCTGTCGCCACGAGAACAAATAACTGCAGCAGCAATATAATCTTGAGGTTCATTTTGACAATCAAAACTGAAAAATGGATGGAAAAACTGAATTAAAGGGTCAATTTTCAGATAAAAGTTTTTTCGCCTTTTGACAGTAGGCAATAATGATAGCTTCGAAGGAACTTAAAAAATTATTGTCCTGACTGATTAGTAAGAACCCTTGAAAGGAAAGCAGCAAATGTGCTATCTTTAGAATTCAGACGAATGTTACCTCTTGGGTCGATGGAAATTCAAGCTTTGAATTCGAGTAGGAAAATCTTCTTCACGAATGCAGTGCAAAGCGCTTCAAACTGAAATATGATGTGGTGGCAGTGCAGAAAGTGGCAGTTAGAAACGATGCCCTGACACTTCAGTAGGTGCTTTGCTTGTAGCTATTGAATTGCTATGCCTACCAATGAATTACGCAAATTTATATACGAACTATTTCTGATATTGTTCGATGGCTTTTGATTAAGAGGCATATCTAGTTAAGGACAAGTTGCTTTAATAGAAGAATGAAAAGATCTTGAAAAAGTGCTTGAGATTGAAGTACGCATTTAAAAAAATAAGCGATTCACTGTAAGCGATATCAAAAGTGTTGCCATGGTAGTTAATTCAGCGTAATTTCGATAGCGCGTTCACGGTCTTGAGTTAAAATCGAACGTCGAACGAGTAGCTAGTCTAGCTTTCACCTTACGTTTCTCCATCTGCTACGCAAATTTTGTTTTTTGACTTTTGAACTTTTGACGCTATTTTTTTACTTCATAACATCCAAAGAAATAATACGCAAGGGAATGGAACGTGGTATGAGATGACAAAATATCATACCCAAGCTAAGGAGGTTTAGTGATGGCGAATATTGGATGGGTGGGAAGCAGTATAGAGAGGCTCAGAACGTTGATCTGAATTGCTTTTAGTACGGTTAACACATAGTGCAATGTTTTCTTCCTCGCCGCGCATCAAAACGATAAGAAATCAAGAAGTAGTCCCAGGAATTACACGTACTCTCAACGRTTTCACCACAATATGCCCTGAATCACCACATCGTGAAATATATTCCCGCTTACAGTCTGTCGCGCACGAAACACTACAGATAATCTATGCATAATATTGTACCCGCGGGTGATCATTGTTGTTATATTGGGGTCCTATTAATGGTGCATTGTTACCAGTTCATAAACACTTATAGCTTCAGTATTGTTATTCAAATACGTATGAATACCTGTTCTGGACTTAAACCATCTCTACTCACGGAATGACCTTGATAAAACAGGAGTTAAATTTAGGTCAGGTTTTATAATATTTTTTTTTACACAAGGTAGTAATTATTGAGTTTGTTCTGTCTGTGCCCTGTCTGTGATCCAATGAACTGCTCTAGACCTTATTCGTCTTGGTGAAATATATATGTTTTCCAATTTCATGCCACGTGTCATTCCCTAGAATATCATTTCTTTCTCTAAAAGTTGCGCATGAGAAGACACATGAATATGGGTGCAACTTAGACGAACCTTTTTTCAAGGGAATGACACGTGGATGTCTGGGGTCGTATTGGGAAAACATTGCACCAAGACGACTAAGGTCTATTGCTTGACTGGGATATCCATTTTAGTTATGTAGGAGGGAAATTGCGCACCATTGGGATAACATACTATGAGTTAGACAACACCCTAAATAAAAATCTAGGACTCTAACTATAGCTCGAAAAGGACAAATTCAAAACGAAACATTCCTTCATATATTTTTCGTCTCTTATTTTAGTGAAATCTAAAGTTATGTAATATTATGGCTTGATAATCAACTGCTCTTTAAGAACGGGGGGGGGGGGGGGGGGGGGGGGGAGGGGGGGCGCACTGAAAGAGATAGGTAAGGAAAATGAATAAAAAGAAACAAATGCTGCCTTACTCAACTCAAAAGTATTTGGTTATGTACGCGTACGGTACGTTCTACATTGCTTCCCTAAGCTATATAATTATCATACGACAATATTATTAGTCATCGATCATTTATTAACCACAATTGGTAAATCTTGACATGTGATAAATTGTCTTGCGCTCTTTATAAAGTGAAAAATAATATAGATGATATCGGCCATTTTCCTTTAAATTATTGAAGAGAAGATCTGTCAATAGAAAAACACTCGGCCGTTCAAAGTATTTAGCATAATTCAATAGCTTCAAATTTGAAATTGCTTAAAAATAAAACAAATTAAGCACATATAATTGGACTTACCACTCTTTTTACTGCTACGCGCTGATCGCGACAACAGTTGTAACAGGGAAATATGGCAATACACTGCAGCCAATCAGAGAATGTAAAGGTACCGACCAATGTATTTATTTATTTATTATTGACGGAAGTGTATGCCCAAATTCCCTGTCGCAAATGTTGTCTCGATCAGCGCTAGCAATGAAGGAGTGGTAAATAATTGGATTTCTTAGACCACAAAGTCCAACCGACTCTGTTTTCATTCAGGATATAATTACAAGCTTAATTTGTCAGCTTTTGAAAACCAAAGCATAGGTTTTTGATTGGCCTGTATACACAACGAAGCAGGTTTTACGAAAGTCATTAAGATCTTTTTTAATCGACCTGAAATCGCCTGCGAGTAGAGCTCGACGGGGGGTTCTTTTGAGGTTTATATTAACCCCCCTCTGGCCATTTATATTGGATTTTATGCCCCAAGCTCTTTTTTTTCTTTTTTCTTTTGCATTTCTGTGGCTTTTATTAGAAATAGTTTGAACAATTCAGTTTCAACGAGTCTACTCCTGGAAAAACACGCAAGAGAAAGAATCCATGCTTGACCTATCGGCCACATGCCACTTTTTTGATATCGAGTGATATTCTAATTTTATTTRGCTTGTCATCCTCTTCAATCATGCTTCTATCGATATTAAAAAGGTTGATATAAGAAAAATTTATATTAAGAAAACGTATTTCCATAGAATTTTTAGGGATTGCCTAAATTCAGAGCCTATTCATAATTTGTGCTAAAATATAATCAATATAGATAAGTCTGGTAATTGGAATAGCACCAAATTAGATCGGTTATATTACTATTAGCCTATACCGCAATATATTGGCACACAGACAACTTGGCTTCCACTGAATAATCAACCCTTTCTTATTTAAAAATTAATGATTTAGTCGACATTTGAATATAACTGACCCAATAAGCGGTATCCGGAAGTTGTACTATCGCGAGCTACGGCAGAAAAGTAAACATCCTTACGTTGTCTTTTCAACTAGGTGATAAAAAAGTCTTAGAATTCTGTAAAGTACCTGTGTCATAAATCCTTCATTTATCATTAGCATCAAATATTAATAATAACGTGATATATTTGACGTTAAAGTTACTGAGTCTTTTTTGGTTTCAAAGTTGTCAAAGTTGATATCTTTTTTCCACCTGACCTGAATTTGACATCGTCATGAACTATTGTATAAAGAAGGCGGTTAGCGTCTATTGTTATGGAACACTGCAAACACCTGAAAGTTTGAATAGATTAACAAAATAAAACATCAACAAAGACCTCGCTTTCTTTGTAAGTCTAAATAGGGGCAAGTTTGTGGACAAACCGTAACACTGTTTACATTGTACGGTTAAATATCATGGAGATGTACTATTGGTTCGCTGACGAATGTCAGTCACGATAGCTCCGCCACCTCTGTAGTAGTTGTGTGACATCATAAATTATCGTTGGGGTCTTTCAAGTGTTCGGATTTGAAATTCTAATTTAACGCCATTATCCTAATTGYATATGCACGCACAACTGAACAAAGTGCTGTACGGATAGTGATTACGTTGTTATTTCCTCGACAATGCCAACAGCCTGGTTCACGCGAGCATATGCAGCCTACAATGGGGTTTAAAGATGTGAACATCGCAGAAACTTTCTGGTATTTCCTAGTTTGGTTTCTACTGGCAGTCGTCGCTGCCTCGAACAACACATCATTGAACGTTACAAACATAACCGTTTCTTCTACTCCYCCGTTGCTAAAAGATACTTCGTCCTGTGTGTTCCCAAACTTTCTTCAAACAGACTGTACAGGTTTGGCTAAGGTCTGCGAATGGAATCTTGGCAAGAGAATAGCTTTACCTCAGTGGCATAATCTTTCACCACCGTCTAAGTTTCGAGCACTTCAAGGGACCTCAGAATGGACGTGGACGGTAGTTAACTCTACAATCACAATAAAGCAGTCTATCATCGCGAAAAAWTTTCAGCCACTTAGCAGAATAACTCATAGTGTTTTCGAATGCATTGCCAACAGAGGTTTAGCTAATAACACTTTTATTATATTCAAGAAGGAAATATTAGGGGGAAAACAGGATACAAACAAGACGTTTTCTTGTGTTCGTTTTCTAAAAAGAAGTGAAACTGTTATTCAATATGAGTTAGGAAGTTGGAGTAGGAGACTGAAAGATGTCGCCTGTCAAGACAATGAACTGGTGTTACAAGAGGACCTACTTATATCAGATCATTCCCATGGTCTCGTAGACTGCCCTTTGGAATTAGGAGGCGCTCATGAAATATGGCATATTTATGACGCCAAGGAACAAAGAACTTGCACTTACGCTAAGGGCTCGTTTGGCGTTTTAGAATCGGATTGTCTGAGCAAAGATGGTCTTTATATAGACTTTGGAAAAGGTCATAACTGTACCAATCCTGATATTGGCCACCKATTTCCTTTAGAGCTCAATCTACGGTGCATAAGCAAATGGAAAGATGGCCTTTTTACATATTTTGTGACAGCTCGACGCGATCGTTGGGTTYCTGATTATGAAAAAACGACTTTACAATGCGCTAGGATCAAGATGACCCCTGATCTCGAGGATGAACTCACATTAACTATATTTAACGACCCAATTTGTAAAGGGATTATTGATAATGGAGAACGAGTGGGAAGAAATGATGACATGTATTCGCTGCGTATTAGACGAAGGAAGAGGCCTTACAACTCGAAATATCATCTTAGTGGAAGGTGYGATTTTCCGAATGAGATACAGGGCACATGGATGGAGCAATCTGCACATCAAGGCAGTAAAAAGATTGTAATAAATGGTGGTAATATTAGTGTTAGTCCCTATGGATCTTTCGAGTGTAAAGAACGTTTTACCATAAGTCAAGGACACCCTTCTGTTTGTGGTTTTGTACCAGAAGGCGACCGCTGGCTCGGCCAAGGACGGGTGAGGTTTTATTACGATGATTATGCGCTTCTGAGCCAATTTGAAAATGGCTGCAGGCCAAGAATTACCAGACTGGGACTCACAAGTACTATCAACAAACACGTCTTGATATATCGACTCTCGCAGAGTGAGCCTTTAGTCGAGGATGGTAGATCTCCGGACGATTTTTACAGGCATGAAATTTTGAAACGGTTTTGTGGAATGCCTTATTTATATGAGCGGGATCCTTTTCCTCACTGGGGGAGGAATGTTGAGAAGGTCATTCATAGAGAGCTACTTCCTGCTCAACCCATGTCAAAATGCTCTCTGGTGTTGAACAGCAGGCATTCTCTGTTGTCTGTGGTCGCAGGTGTAGAGTCTACTTCTTGTACTGGCAAGTCATCTTTGATGCATTTTGGATGCCAAGAAGCAAGGCAAAAAATGACTTTCCTTAACATTTCCTATCCCCCAAGCTGCAAAGAGAAAGAAGTAACATTCTCCTGTATTGGGAAGGCATGGAAGTTTGGTAACAATGTGTTGCTGCGTGACGCCGTCACGCAACAGATCAACTGTTTTTGGTTCGATAAGGAAAGTAACGCAATATTTAGACTTGGATCACCTCAGTGTTCTGACGCTGACTGGGGTCGCCTGCCTGGACACGCGAATCACTTTGACGAAAGATTTAGCATCAAATACTTTGAGAAATGTCCATTAGYAGCGGAATCATCACTAAAACCCACTAAGGGGGGTAAATCTAGGGCAACTTTTGCTGCTCTCACTCAGACTCTATGGCTGTTACCTTCAATTCTTCTTACGAGATGTTATTTTTAGCTTGTAGCTAGTAGCTAGTTTCGAAACTTCGCGYGAAACGTCTAGCATTATAGCCAACTGAAAAATGTTCGAACAAATGAGGCTCTGGAGATTCGGAGAAGTGTGTTTGCAGAACAAGCTGATGACCTTTGAACTTGACCTTTGACCTATCTAGTGTTAGTGATGTACTGGTTTTCTAATGCTCTCGATTTATACTATTGGTCAAATGCCTAAGGTTACATCAATCACTAATATACTTAAAACACYAAGATATTTGTCTAGACAACTTAACTTATAATAGTTTTTCTCTCGTATCTTTCCCGCGTCTTTTTCTCGTTCTTCTCGTTCTTAATTTCTTGTTCTTCTTCTTGTAATGTTCTGTTTCTTGCTCTAGCTTCTTCGTGTTAAATCTTCTTGTTCTTCTTCAAATTGTTCTTCCTCGGCTTCGTTTTTCTTCTTCTCCTTCATCTCTCATTCCTTAATACAATACAATGATGTTTTCCTCGGCGTAGACATATTTGTTCTGGTTTTAACACGTTCAAACTGAAGTAAAACGCAAAGAAATTGCATGCCTTTYGTGTGTACTTACTTTCATGGCCTAATTTTTCTTAATTCCCTTAAATTTTTACTCCCTTATGTCATCTCATTTGTCATTTTTTTGAACAAGAATAAACCTAGGAGAAAGACTCATCCAGAAGCATCACTCTCGCGTACCACTATAGGTGGGCGTACTGTTTACATTTTCAAAAATCAACTTTTGAGCCATAAAACGATTGAACTTAAGAAATATAAAGAAGTCATAACTGTTGATAATATTTATCAATTTGAGATCAGTTGCTTCATTATTTCAGGAGATATAATAAATTAAAGTTGCTAAATTTTGCAGTAAATGTAGGTTGTTTGGCAACATCTTGCCAACCAACATAACTGGCACGCCTGAAAAGCAGTTTAACTGAGTCGTTTACCGTGGATAAATAAAGTTAGTTCAATTCAAATTCAATTCAATTCAATKCAATTCAAATTTCACAACGYTAACTTGAAAACYATCAWGAGATTTGTCCTCAAATTYTCAGATRTCTTCCAAAKCGATAGGATCTTGCCACTTTTGATGTTTGTTTGTTTATTGCTTGAATTTGCAAGAATTTCATGTTCTTGATCAAAACAAATGACGTCATCGTACGCCCACGTATAGAAACTCGTATGACATATCACTCTGCCACGTATAATCGATAACGTGTACAGTACCGTATCGCAGTTCGAGCTAGAAATAGGAGAAAAACATTGGAAACCATACCATACGAGTATTCCAATTTTTTTTAAGGCCATATTTAGACTGTTAATTTCAAATATTGAACAGATGACAAATAGCCTACAGGTTTTTACCGATAATATATATAGTTTCATCCTGTGACCTATAGGATGAAAAAAAGGTAGAAAAATTAATGCAAATTTTCCGACCAAGGCAAGYTTTGTTAATATCCGTTGGGCATTGGATACTAACAACATTTTGTACATCATAAAATATATATGCTTCCGTAGACGGGATATTGTCTAAGAAAAACTGTCAAAGGGCATCGGCTAATCCGTCTACGAAGGGTTAGGGCGAGTAGATGGCTCAAAGCGGTCGCTTTTACGAGCGGCGTATTTGATAAACTGTTGAAGACAGACAGGTTTGGTCATAGCTTGTCAAGTTATTCCATGCTGCAAAAAGGTGATTCCACAAGGCCTCAGCGTCTTAACCCCGCAAGCTCAGCTCAGCTCAGCTTACTCTCTGACGACCATAGTCTGGATTATGTAAGATACAGCGGTACATTCCGTATAATCCAGCTTCCCGCCTTTCGTCACTTGGACCGAAAAAGTATAAAAAGTTATAGTCTGCTTTTCCAAATCAGTGATTGATGGCACAAAGACATCTTTCAACCCGTTCCTTTTTGCGGAAATTGGACATTGAACTCCGTGCAAAAAGGCAAAAAAAAAAAAAAAAATCTCAAGTGAAGTCGCGCATTAAACAGAAGGCACAAAGGTCACTTCAATCCCAAAAAATAGTCTCAGTTTCCGATAGCAGAGCCGTTACTGTCAACTCTATTAAGTCTGCACAGTGYTACGGGGCGGTTTTGGAACAGTAATCAATCATATTCGTAGCTAAACTGCATCATCATATCTTTACAGCGTTAATTCAGCYGCTAAGTAGCCTATCGACTAGATTTTTTTCGATTACAGCCTTGTAAGTAAGCAAGGTCCTCCTCTATCTATCATAAACATATTTTTAACCTCGATAACCATGTTTCCCACGAGTGTTTAAGGCTAATCCACGAAATYCCACCCCATACAAAGTTTTCTATGTGATGCAAAAGAAGCGTCTTTTTATCATAAATATTCTTATTTTGCAAAACTAATAAAATCCCTAATTTGTTTCTTGGAAGTATGTGTTAAGAGGGTGTTGATTGTGTAATTTGCTAGGGAAAGTCACTAATAATGTGCTAAGTTTATAACACGATTCACGGCTCAATACATCACAAGCCAAATGAACAATACTTGTCAGCGCTGATCAAACAATATTTACTTTCGGAATTCCTCACGATTTTTCGCCGGAAAAGCACACTTGTAGGAAGATTGATTTTTTATCAGTAATTTTCTTTTGGCACAATTAAGCTCACTTCATGGATTTGATTTCAACCACAATTACATTGATAGCAAATGCGTGAAAATCTCTGCAGGATACAGGATTGTTTTAGGGATTTTTCTGTTTGATAATATTCAGGCCAAAATCAAAATTGTTTTGTATACGTGTGTGTATTTCAGGTGAAAGTTTTACGGATTTAAAGGTTAAGTGGACTAAATATAAAAAGAKTGTTTGTCAAGAGCGAAAGAATAAAGGAAAGTATTATTTGATTAGTAAAAACGGCTCAATTTACGCTTAGTTCAATCTTTATACGAAAACCACCATTGTTTGAAAAAGATATCCTCGCGCGTCTTGTGTACCAATACATCTTATTCTATCGCCGCATTCTGCGACCATACTTTGCACCAATCGAGAGTATTAATTACATAGATCATCATCTTCGTGATAAACTTTACGAGAGAAAACTCCAAAAACCTATTGCTGGTACTCCATAATCRCGCAGGAGAATGACTGATGCGTGCAGAATAGAACTAGTACTGCAACCAGCGCCCTACCAGGACAAAATGGGACCTCAGTAAAATGAGACACACCCCAGATACATCTTGCTAAGCAACATAGTTTAACTTCTCCATTCGAAGATGAGGTTGTTGTCCTCACTCTTTCAAGCCTTCGCCTCTCTGCGCAAAACCTTCTGACATGAAGTTCTCTCAAATGAGGTGCTCAAATCTGGTAAAAATTTCCTCGCTTTAAGCGTTTTTCTCGACCCGAGAAGTCGATAATTTTCCCATTTGCACCTCTGCATTCAAACCAGGGCGCTATTCTACAGCGCAGAGTAGCAGGATCAGTAGTTTTGTATAACCACTTTGTGCAAGGCGTAAATGGTTTCGCTACATACCTTCCAACCTGAAGTATCTGTGTTCTTAGATCGTCCGATGCACCACAACGTCGCCAATCTGGACCTTCTTTCAACTGAACTGAATATCTGAAGCTTGTTGAATTTTAAGAAACTAGAGTCGAGCGGCTCTTTTGTTTGCGCGCCGATCGTAAGCTCAATGTTGACGGGTACGGTATTTTTGTAGGGTCTTATTTCTCTCAGTCATGAACGCAATATATGTGTAATGTAGCCCACCGCTGAAGTAATATCTAGGCAGACTTTAATTGGTGATTGCGTACGTGTCATAAACCTAATCCCTAACCAAAAGCTCAAAGGCCATGAGGCTATCTTGAGTAGGGAAGACCGGTGTCTTACAGAATAACAATATGAGCTCGTACGTTATGCGCATATGTTTTTAGGAGGGTATTTTTGTGTAAATATTTTGAGCTAACTCTTTTGCGCTATGCCTTATTYGTTTACTAACAGTACAAAAGTGGATTTTGAGGATTGTTTTTAAAAATATTTGATGTTAAATACGCGCGCGACTTGATAAGGTGTTCATCATACTGGTCGCAGTCTCACCAAATGCCGTACCAACTGTTATCTCACAAATGTATTTTCAAACTACACAACTTCGAGAACACCAACGTGAATTGTCTTGGTGCCCAGCATCTGACTTCATTTTGCGCATCATGCTTATCGGTGTCATCGCACATTAGTAGAATCACTTCTTTCAGCACCTTCACTTGACATGTCTCATCCTATAAAACTTCTTATTCTTGCTCACATTCATCTCTACTATATTTTGAACTACTTAAAAATCTGATGGAATTTCAATCATACTTATAAATTACATAATTATTTACAAAATTATGACGTTTTTTGATTATTTATTCTCTGATTGAACTAATGACTCAATWTGTAAAAGATTAGTTTTCAAGAGTTGGACCTAGATTGATTGAGCTGATAAGTACGGGTTCTGTTTCCCTCCCACGCTTTTCTGTCACACGAAGAAAGCGTTTTTCAATTGAGCTGGTGTCAGTTGGAGAACGTTTTGAGTGGAAACCAYCTCTTGTCTTCTAGAATTAACACACAGACCGTCAGCTCATTCCAGGCTTGTGGCAAAAGCGCAACAATCTTACTGATAGCTTTGTTATCTTATCTCGTACCATTTTCCTTATAAACATTAAAATGAGCAACGTTAGTTATTTATACAGCTTTGTTTTTCATAAAAATTTTCTAAAGTCAAGTTAAGCTAAAGTCAAGTTAAGGCGATGAACATTAGGAAGGTCGCGAAGTTGGGTCCAAAGAACAGAACTCCTTTTGTTCAACCAATTAAGCCTAGCAGCATTTTTCAATAGGTTCTGACGACCCGTTCCAGAACAATAGYATACAGCTTCAACTACAACCTGAAAGTGAAACAGTATCGTTCACTTCATCTCACGCAAGGTCTCAGAGGTCTTCAGGAGATATTTGCCGGTCTTTTTTGTTCGACTGTCGGCACCATTACTGGGTATTCCTAGACTTCAAAACCTCTCTGATTTGGATTGGAGGTACATCGAAAGTTTTATCTGAGAGTTTGTTTTAGATCTAATCACAGTCTAAATGAAAGTAGCTCTGGTTTATATCCTTTTTGACAGCTGGTTGCTGGATACAGGTAGCCCACGCTCTCTTGGGGCGGGGGCACACTCGGCTTGATAAGATATTCGACCCTGGATAAACTGGGATTGGTTGGAACCGGTTGTACGGAAGGGTGATATAGCGATATCCGACGGATAGATTCTTATCCAGTGGACAAATTTATTGGATATTCTAATGGGAATGGAAATGGAATTGAAATGCGCACTTGTCTAAAATATGCGAAACCTACGCAACGACCGGCTGCCGGGCAAGCCACATGCCAAGGTGATTTTTTCCCAATATAATGATTTTCCCATATTTTATAAGATATCAAATTTTTGGCAACTTGGAGTATGTAGCTTGTCAAGATTTAAGAGATGCGCAAGCAAAGACTCAGTTTGAAATGGTTGTCAAATGGCCAGAAATTGCACTCTGAGGATATGACAAAAGTCTGCCCTCGTAACGGTTATCAGCCTGATTTAATACCAYTCGGACCTCCCATTTGTATTGATGACGTCATCAGTGTTAACGAATATTTACTTGACAAATTATGAAGGACCAGATTGGATTTCTAATCTTCTGCCGGGTGGGATTTAATTAACTCCCTTAGTCGCTTGTCGGATWTTTTTTTTGACACTTAATGACTTATTGAGAAGAATATTAATTTGGCCGTCTAGTGTAAAGACTGTTGAAGCTACATGTCAAATGTCGACAGCCATGTTCTATTATAATTTTTCACAGTAAACTTTTGCAACTGAAATCCTACTCCAAAAGGTGCTAATTGAAGATCAAAATTGTCATGAATGCTATCTCTCTTTGAAAAAGACAAAAAAATATGTATTTGAGGTATGGAAATTTATAATCATTCCTAAATGAATGGGTTGGCGCGACATGTTGGATGACGTTGTTTTCGTGTTTCCTGAACACTGYCCAACGCGTACGTAAATGCGATTTTCTTTTCTTTTTTCTTTCTTTTTTGTTCTGGAAGGTAATGAAATTAAATTAAAATACTTAACTTGAGTATCAGACAATATAGCTGAACCTTTTTTTCCCTTATATAATATAGTGAATATTAGCCAACATAGTCCCTCACACTAATAGGAGCCACAAACATCGACATAAAAAATAGCGTTCATAAGATTKATATTTATTTAATCTAAGGAAAACTCAATTTTTTTCCCAACAAAAATGTGATGTTGAGCGCCCTTAATTTTTTATTTGGGTTGACAATATTTCCCCACCCCTCCCCAGTTTAGCTATGACGCAATAATAACACGRTGTCGAGGTAAAATAACATTAGCATCCCTTCGAGCAGCCATTTTGGATTTAACAGGATTTAAACTAAATGACCCTTTTCTCTTAAAATAACAAATATTTTGGAGTGAAAAACCACTTCAACCCTTCCAGAAGGCTTGTGAAAAAGCCTAGATGGCAGGCAACCAACGATATGTGCCGGTAAGTGAATATTTTACCGAAAGAAAAGGCGAATAATTCAAGGAACGCCTAAGCCCAACTGGTTTCCGCTGTTAGATTTTCGAATATTTTTCTTCAAATGCCACGACAAAAGCTAAAAGGAACACGACTACAAGACAGTTTACATCCTATCTTTTACCATTTTCCTATATTTTCTAACATTTCTTGAACGTAATACATAGATATATGTGTCTGAAAAAAGGCTACTCATGTTCGAATAATTGTAATATTTTGTTGTTTGTGTCGTGTATAAACTTCAAAATTTAAAGTTTTTATCATAATATCGGTCGAAAAATTCATGAATATTTTACAAACAAAACCCTCAGTAGAACCACAACTTCGCTTATTTGCTTGTTAGRTATTTTAGATTCATTGGTATATTTTTTGCACTGTTAAATGAGCAATAAGTTCACAGCGTTAAAGACATAATAAAACAGAATCAATAAACTTATTTGTAATAAGTGTTTCGTCTTTATGGCATTTTCATCAAAATATTTATGAGTGGTGCAAATCTTTTATTAGATTTTACATCTTTGCTTTAAAACATTGGAGTTAATGTGCAAATAGAAAAGAAAAATTATTTCTCTGAGGGGCAAAAAGTTCTAAATCTCCCCTTTATTTTAAATTTATTTTTCTCGCTTTTATGGTTTTCTAAGGGTTTTGTTTATATTTTTCAAGACTTTATTCCTTTGCTGTTCATTTATTTTCCATATTCTCTGTATTTTAGAGGTTTGAATAATGTGTGAAAAKATTAGAAGTGATTTATTGAACAGCTGTGTTTTTTAATGAGAAACTAGGTATTTATAGCATTGCATAATATTATGTGCAAATTTCGTTTTTTATCATCAGGAGAGAAAATAACAATAGGCAGTTGCTAAAAAACCTGTGACCCTCATTCCATGATCAAATTGGAATTTAGGAGAAAAAGCCTAGAGAAAACCCCCAAGCATAGGAAAGCACCAACTCCCATACAACCTCAAGTTCAGGAATCATTAGCATTGGTCAGAGGCAAGTGCTTTGCACCTACAAYCTGAACTTAATTAACTAATTTGTTTCAGATTGCGACCAGTGAGGAAACAGCACCAGATTCCCAACCTGCTGTTCTATCAGTAGTTGCAACCCCACCTCAACCAGTTCATCTCACACCAACACAGGATAATCGTACTGTAAACCAAGCAGCATATGTAGAAATACCTCCTGATGTCCCTCCTCCACCTTATGTATCGTACGACATTGATGAACCCAACGATGGTATGTTATGGCTTTGCATTCAAGTCATTTTCTTATGRGTAGAAGACTTAAAGTATGGTACAGAATAATACATATATTGCACATGTAAAGTATAGCATGCCATATCACTTAGTGTGCTTTTTGGTCAAGCTTGGAACAGCTAGAGTTTTATCGATTAGTTGCTTATGTGCTTATGACATCATAACATTATATATATATATGTTTTTTTGTATATTTATATATGTACATATATATATTTAAATCAATATTTTATGTTTCAGAAAATAACATCAGTCCCCCAGCTTACGAAGTTGCTTCCAAACTACCCACTTACGAAGAAGCCGAGGGAGTGAGAGAAATAAATGAAGACCTGGTTAGTTGATAAATTGAAAGTTAAATACTGCAGCACATGGAAAAATAATCAGGATAAATAGTTCCAGGGGGGGAGGATATGAAATTAAGTGGTGGGAAGGGTCAAAGGAGGGTACATTAATATATTATATTACTTCATGGTGCTGTGTGTGGAAATTTTCTGGAGCTTTGCCCAGCTGATCTGACATAGAYGGCRATAGATAGATAGATACATAGATAGTGACATAGRAATGGCGTAACTGCAAAACTGAGGTGTCACGAAGCCTGCGAAAATTGACCAGCAAAAAATAAGAACATGTCCGCCATCACAATCGCTATCGTTATTTTTTCATTTGGTGGCCTAGAAACTCTATGATCAAGAGGAAGAGAGCCACCTCAGTTTTGCAAATTTTCTCAATTCTGATTGACTCTGTTTTCTTTCAGTTCMGTTGGACTGCTTTTCATTAATGTAGTTCTGGGTCCACATTTAACCAAAGCAAAGCTAAAATCTATGTAGTATGAATATTGAGTGGAGCATAAGCACTTACATAGGAATATATATCTTAAATGCACAGTCAACGACTTAACTAACTCGTACACTGTTTTAATATAGGAACAGAGAAATGCTTTACTTGTTGATGGAGGACAAGGTGAGCTCACACTGATATCTCTTAAAACAAGGGACTCTGCTTAGACTKTTTACCTTAGATCTAATATTTTCCCATTCCAGACCACGTCACTCTCTTGCAAATAAGAGTCTTTGTTTCAGTTGTATCCATATTTGTGCATCTTCTCATGCGCAACCATTAAACTAAGAAATTATATTCTATGGAATGACCCATGGTATGGAATTAGAAAAYGCTACRGCAATGTTAATGGGGTCTATTATTYATGTATTATATTTACTTGAATCTTTTCCGTCTTCTTATTCTTATTGTTTTAGAAGTAGCATTAGGGACAGACTGGCTCTTTGTGTTGTGCTTTGCAAGTAAGTTGATAAAAAAGATGTCTAATATAATAGAAATCATCTTCTTATCTAAAAAGGCAAAGAACAAAAAAATGTATAACAATAAGAAAATGCACTCATACTCGTTGACTACATGCATTGAGTTACCTTGAGCACTACACACACTCGAGCGTAGTCACTGAGGTGACTGCCAGCAGAAATCACATCTGAACATGTTAACATTCCATGAGCTGTATACTCTACCAAAACTACTCTAATAAGCCTGAAGCGAGATGACGTTTTACCCTCGACTCTATACCATAATAGTTTTTAAAATTCTTTCATATTAAAATTTTTGATTCCTTAGAGAATACAGGAACAATAGTCATAATCAAAGAACAAAAGTAGTGTGAAAAGGATTATGGTCTAGAGACGGGGGTAAAACGTCATCTCGCTTCWGGCTTATTGGGAACAGTAGTAATAATTGTGGTATCTTATGTTATCCATCTACTTTTCAGTGGCTTTCCTGTTCAACTGGCTTGGATTCTTTGCTGCATACTGTTTAACAAGGACTGTTGCATCACGTTATGGAGCCATTGCTGGGTTTGGTCTTTCAATGGTTAAATGGGTGTGGATATTTAAGGTATGGCTGGTTTTGCAATCATTCCCAAGATGATGAAATAACAAAAAAACACATGAGCCATGTTGGATGATGTAACAAAAGMGACTTATGACAAATCTTTTGTTAAATTCATCCAACATGGCTGCTGTGAAAACCATCAGTTGGCATTGTCTTTTGTGACAACTGTGAGAGATTCTGCTTATGTTGGGACGTGTGTTGCCAGTTGTTTCACTATCTTTCAATCTGTATTGTTTTATCAGGAGGCAGCAAAATCTAGAGAAGAAATAATATATGGTCAGGACTGGATATGGTGGATTTTCTTTGCCCTTGGTAAACACAACTTTTGCTTTTATCTTTATATGCAATTCAATGTGATCTTTTAATTTTTTWAAATCATTTTTGTTGTTATTATTATGAATACCCTTTACCCTATTATTATTATTACTATTATTAACCTACTTTGAGAGAGGGGGTGTGGAAGGAAGTTCTACTCTGCCATATACTTCAACACAGGAATCCCAATTATCTTCTAGAGAATATAATAATATGGAGTAGCCTGAAGAAGCAACACCAGATACTGGGAGAGAAGGGATGGGGATTGCTCAATTGATACCCTCGTTGAATACAGTATCCCTACCCTCCTCCTAGGAGAACTTTCTGTAGGGGGAGGGGTGTGGAGTGACATTGCAGTCCATTTTATTCTGTTGTAAGGTGCATTCTTACTCAAAGTAGAATTACCTTACCAACAAAATTGGTGTGTTTTACTGTATGCTTGTATTATTTCAGGCTGGTTACTGTTTATCAGAGCTACCCTTGCATACCTCCATATCAAGTTGTTAGTCAGGCGTGGATGTAGGAGATTCCCACATTACTGGGGTCTACCTGTTCAGAAATGAGCTCAACAGTAATGGGAGGAGGGACAAAACTACTAGAAAAAACTGTTAAACGAGAATGGGGACATCAAGATATCGACTTGAATAAACACAGAAGGATTTGGTATATAGAAAGATGGCCAGAGTGTAGATCTTTAGATTTGGCAGTTATAATTGATAATAATCTTTATTTTACTTATGAGACTAAAAGGAGCTGACCTACCTAGAACTACCCTTGCAAACTTACTGCCGTAAACTACCTATRAAATCAACCCCAACAACTTATTATCTACCGCTTTCTACTTCTTTTGATTTTAATATTATTATATAATTCAATTAAAAATGAGGGAATGATGACCAACAGAGCAAGTGAGAAACATAGTGAATGCGACTGCAAGCAAATGATAAGGTATTCAGAATGCTACATTGAAACTCCTCATCCCTTGTTCCATGCGCACTCCAAAAACCTAATAATATTAACCATAATTTAGATARAAAAACATCCTTGGAGACTATATGCCCATCACTTGTGCTTATGGTCTTGAAGGATACTAAATAGAAAGCTTACGACAAAATATCCTGTCTTCTGAATATATGTTAAAAATATTCATATAAATTAAAGGTGAATTATTGCCAGCGTACCTGAGGAATTTCCAAAATTACCTGGTGTATTTAGATTTTAGTTTTAATTTCYGTACAGCCTAGTTTGTAGCATTCATTAAATAGCTGAGTATTATTTTTAATTAATGGAAAATACAAGTTGTTTATACTATACTTGTCCAATAAATTAAAATCCATCATTGCGATAGAAAATGGATTAGTAGAACATTGCTGGAACTATTTCAACGTTAGGAAACTCTTTCAGTGGGTACCAAGCCTTTTGATTGTTGTCTTCAGTGGAGAATTAATTTTGTTWTAAGATGATGGAAGCCATTTCATTGATCGCTGTTGGAACCCGTGTACCACGGTAGGAAGCCATTTCAGTGCTGACTGTGGGTGGGAAGCCATTTAATTGCTGACATAWAGTAGAGAATAGATTTTGTGACTAATCAAAACCAGCATTTCGGGAAACCATTTCAGTGCTGACTGTGGGTGGGAAGCCATTAATTGTTGTCATATATATAGTACAGAATAGATTTTTTGACTGATCGAATCCAGCATTTCATTGATCGCTATTGGATTCCATCAGTTCAACAATGGRAAGCCATTTCGGTGCTTCCTGTGGGTGCGAAGCCATTTGGTGGTTCTGTCACAGCATAGGAAACCATTTCAGTGTTGAAAGTAAATCCATTTCAATGTTACCTCGCTGTAAACAAAAAACATTTTGACACAAATTCGCGTAATGATAAAGCATTATACAACAAYATACACTGACTAGAATAAAATAATCTTGAACTAAACTAATTAAGATGGGTGTTTCTATTAACATGGAAACAATCTTTTTCATTTCATTATTATTTAAATTGATGGATTAGAAGTTAAAGCCTTTCAAGTAAAGTGTTCAAAAAAATTATCATTTGTGAATTCTCCAGTCATCATTCGTCTTCGCTCGTATTTTTAATTTTATCACTGACTGATATAATGTTTTTTCAAGAGATAAACTTGGTATCGTAAGTAATCCTTCCTTAAAAGAAAAAGAGGTTATTTTTGTTCATGTGAGAGYCAAAATCACCAAGTCTCTACACAAATATCTTGAAAGCTGCCGAACCTTTTATCCATCGGTTGGTAGTCGAACGATTAGCTTTAGGCAGGCGCCGAGAGAATACTGTATATGGATTTGGTCGACGCATTGTTTACTTGAAGATTAACCACCACAAAAGAACTGAGCGCTGTACAAACACTTGGCYAGAATATATTTTAATCCTTGACTTATTTGATGAAACACAACCTCTCTGGCATTGTGCTAATGAAAGGACGTATTTTGTATTTTTATTCTTCGAACGGATAGAGAGTAATTCTGTGAAGAAGACTGCGAAAATGTCCACCAACGTAGTCGATGGATTACGAGAAAAATTYAAATACGTTTTGATGTTGATAGAAAAGGCTCGCGGAAGAGAAATGGCCGCTAGAAAGAAGGCGAATARTGCACTTGAGAGAACTAAAAATGCTGAGAAAAAATCCTTTTATTTACGTCACAAGTTGGACGCTCTCACAGATAAGTTATTCATCTATGGTATTAGAATAGAACGAACATTTTTGAACTTGGAAATTTGCAGAAATAAGAGTCAAGAGAAGCAAAACGAATGCGATGGGAAAGAAGACAGAGTATGCGTCGAGAAACTTCAAAAGGATATTTCAAAAGTAGAGCAACTTGAATGGGAATACAAAAGCGATGTTAGAGTTTTATTAGATAAAAGAGATATGATTATTAAACGTCTAGATGAAGTCGAAAAAAGAATTGCAAGTAAGAACGAATGCGTCAAGATTTTAGAGAAGAGACTTATGAATTTTTCTGAAGTTTTGGRGATTGAGAAAATGAAACGAGAGTTGGAAAACCAGAGACAAACTTCGAGAGCTCAAGTTTTGATTCAACTTCGGAGATACTTGGAATTAGCAAAAACGAGAAAATCTAGAGCTGAAAAAAAGATAGAAAGACTTGTCAAGGTTATAAAAGAGATAGCTGTGAGCTTAGAGGCACAAGAAAAGGTGACTTTACGATCCAGGAAGGAAGTAMACCGTTTGTTGTTGTCGAAAAAAAAATACAGCACATGCTAAGAAGTATTCAATTTATGGCGGGAAAATATGACTTTAGCAGAACTTTGCAAACAAAACTTATAAAGAGAGTACAACTCAGACATAAATGGTGTTCTAAGGACAAGAAATAAGTGAAGTTGAACTAACTTRCCAGCTGAGCCGAAAAATTACACCATAAAGGTCGTGTTCAGAACGACGCTGTCTTTCTTTAAAACTTCTCTCTGGCTATCTCCTTCCGGGTGAAAATCAAGTGCACTTCGTTTCGAACAAAACCTGTTTTATATGGTTTAACGACAAACGCTTGCTTGTATGCCAATTTTTGTTATTGATGAATTAATAAAGTCATGTTTAATGATTATAAATATATGTTTCTCGTAAATAATTCACTGAATTATTTCAGTTCAAGGTAATTACTGGGTTGCCTGTGGCAGTCCAGCCGGGGGAAAATGCCTTTGTTTTTCTTATGGGTTGTCCGCTGTAATAAATGTCCTATTGAAGTCTGTGAACTTCGCAAACCTCGCTACCTACTACTCCTTCACACGCTTCAGAGGGACGCTTTCTGTAATTTCTAAAATAAGCTTACTTTAGTGTCCTTTTGACTGTTGTGATCTTTTAAAACTAGGTTGCTTATAAGCCTGTATAAATTCGATCAGACGTTATATTTTATTACTCATATGAGCAATATCGATCCGCGAAAAGTAGACCTATGCTTAAATGCTTATATAGAGGCTCATGGAACTTGCACAAAAATTATTATTTGCAAGAAACCAGCAAAGTTGACCTGATTTGGTTAGTTCTTATRTATAGTTTTCTTGTATGCTGATTTCAGGGAACCAGGCTGACAGCACCATACCTGTTCTTCGAYAACTCGAGGTAAGATATTTTATTTCATTTGCTTTGAAATAATTTTTGAAAGTGAACGATGAATAGTTTTTTCCAACACAACAAGCGATTGTTCATCATGTTTTTCATGAAGTTTCAAGTACTGATGTAACAAGACAACCTATAGGCGTTCACTGGGTTGCCTGTTTCATGCACAGAGACCTAGTACAGCTCTGAGGAAGTTTGCAATGTTTGCCAAAAGATAATGAAATGTTTCACAAAGAAAACAATGATTTCGTTTAACTCATCTAATACGATCTTCTCCTTTAAGGTCTTCTCTACATAATATTACGATAATTGCAGGTTCTGCCCWTTTTTAGGCTACAAAATAAAACGTTTTGCGTTATGCATGTCACATGTGAATTTGATCTTGCGCCATGACACAACAAGACCAAATATCCCCCAATGTTCTCAGTCAGAATCAATAATTAATTTTCTTATTTTTTTTTACCATCCTTTGTTATATTATTTACTAGGGTGGCTGTTCATTTTCATTGCCACTAAAAAGATTGCCTTATCGTTAAATCTAATAAAAATGGATTAAAAAAAGGATAAATATGTTATGTCGATGACATGAGATTTGAACCAAAGCCAAAAATAAAATACAAAAAAACGACTCCACTTTGCCATACCCCCGAGACATCCGCAGAGCTGAGGCGGCGTATGGACTTCGGACCTGACGGCGATTAAATCCTTCTGCCCTTGGGTGTACGAATTACGCAAGAAAATGTTCTAGCCGAAGCATCAGGGGAGAGATCAACCGGCCCCCAGACCATATCGGCTAATCCCTTGCATCTCTGCCACGCACGGAATCGGTTGAAATCAATATGTGAAAAAAGTTTAGTCTATTCGGTGCATTGTTTTCACGGCTATTGTTATGCTGATTTACCTGAAACYGTGGTCCAGTGGATAAATCGTTGTCGCTCAAGATACTGAGTCAAGCTGGTCTGAGGAGAGTTAGCACTTGGATGGGTGACCTAAACATTATACATACTCACGCTTTTGCTCCTTTTTTCTTTTTTTTTTCTTTTTAAAATAATAGAATATAGAATAGTGAAACTTGAAGTACACTTGATTCGCAGCCACACCCCCAATCAATCACTTTGATAAATTAGTCATCGATCGGCAACTGTCACTTGAATATAAATCAGACAGTTTGTCCGCAAAGGACTCTTGGGTAGTGTCATAAAGACCTCTTGGTACTATTGCGCAATTTTAGCATTTTCTGATGTAGGACAATACGGAGACACGCAACGCATTTTTTTGACCCAGCAAAAACTCACAAGTTTCATACTTTTTACTATTTTCTTATGACTCATATATTTAATCAAATTATCGGATATCAATACGATCCRTCGATATACACACTTGAAGCTACTCGAGTTCTTGGACGTACGTGCCCTTGTTGAAAAAAATGCAGTTATTTTCACACGATATTGCATAAAGTAAAACTGAGTTCGTTTAATGAGAAAGAATCGCCTGCCGTTTATATTTTATTTACAAAGTATAAAGTTAGAATCGATAAAGCTGTTTTCAAAATGCGGTGTTGTCAAATCCCTGCACAGATTTTCCTTCGATATTATTAAGTTGGGATTCACTGGTCTTCTGCAATGCTCTGAGCCTGAAAAAGAAAGAAAGAATAATTCAGATAGAGATATGTTACAGAAAGGTTGAATGACCCGGTTGGGGAACAACTTGGATAAGCTAGATAGGCAACAGAGCTTTTATTTAGCAAGGCAACGCGCGCTAAGCAAAAGAGGCACTAGAGGCATTGAGGTTAACGACGAATTAAGACAACGACGAATGACAAAAACAAAAACCTGTTAATACAGCAACAAAAGTCAACGGCAAACGAAGACGACGACGACAACAGCAGCAACAACAGCAACAACAACCACAATGGCAACCACAATGATTCAACAGCAGCAGCGAACAACACTGTATGACGGCTGCAACGACGATAAAACTATAAACGATAGTAATAATAGTAATAATATTTTTGAGAGTTCGTGTTTGTAATCTTTAACCTACTTTGTCAGAACGCAGATAAAGCCGACAAGTACGACCAGAACAAGAAGTGCCATGATCCCAATAGCAATGCATAATAGAAGCATAAGGTTGTCATCTTTGGTCTTAACTGGAAGTAAAAAGGCAGAATTATTAGGAACACAGAAAATATATATCCGTTCACGACTCTCCCACCGGAGCCATTCAAGTGGTACGGCAAAGGGGTACGGGAGGGGGTACGGCAAGGGGAGATTAGGTCAAGGGTTTAATAACACTAAATGTATCGGGTAAACAGTTAAAGAGGAGGAATCATTGTGGCGTAGCAGTGTGGTGCACTTGGGTTTGATTCCAGAACTTGGCTCCACATGTCAGCAGAGTTGTTAGTTGTTAGGAAATTTCTCCGKTTTTTTACGGTTTTTTACCGCCTCCAAAAACTGAAAACCTAAAAAATGCTAAATTCCAATTCGATCTGTTATAGTTAACCTTGGTCTAGCTTATTTGATCAACCCAGAGGTCGTTCCAGGGTTCGATCATCTGTGAGTTAATGCCCTGACTTTGATTTTTTTTCTATAGAATATAAACATTTAATGTATTRTTTATCACGTATCATTCATACAAGGCATACTTACTGAGGTTTTCTATTTTTCTTTGTGCACTTGTTTCTCCTCCACAACCGACGGCAGTGGTCGGTTCGGTGGGATGCATCGTTGTCGCAGGTGTTGTTGCTGTTGTTGTTGCTGATATTGTTGTTGTTGTCGTTGGAGCAGACGTTGTCGTTGGAGCAGGCGTTGTTGTTGTTGGTGATTTTATCGTTGTTGTTGATGTAGGAGGATGTATTGTTGGAGTACGTGTTGTCGTTGAATATTCTAAACAATATAAAACAATTTTTCAGTAGTCAACATCAATCAAAATAAACCCGTTTACCTAGCCAGGGCTTAATGGTTTCACATTTCAGCGGAGAACATCTCATTCTCTCATAATATAAATATTCTTTCTTATTTGCAGTAACTCGTCTGACTTGCTGCATGTCCCTTATTAGCCTTTCCGTAAATCATGATCAACCTGTCCTACCTTATTCATCCTTTAAAGATAGTGGATAGTTGGAGTGTTACTACATTTAAAGTTAGACAAAACAAACCTGGTGTGGTTGGTGCTGTGGAAATGGGCCAACTTGACGTCGGCCAACTTGTTGCTAAAGGTGAAGGGCCTAGATATTTCAAACACAGTCAGTTAGTCATTGATATAAGCGTTTTCAGTTGAATGCAGTGAAACAGTAGCATATATTYACCATTTTCTATACATCGGTTCACTAGTCAAACACAAAGCATTCAGTCGAGGTTGCAAGGTTCAAATTCGAATAATCCTTTGAAAGTACCTTGGCGCCTCGCTCGAGCGCTTTGTGTTTGACCAGTAAACCGATGTGATAACATGTGAAACGAGCTTCTATTATCAAATGGACCGATTAAGGTTAGACTTGTTACAAGTCTCGCTCGCTAAGTGCTTTCCGTTGCTAAATTGAATTCCAATAATGAACTTCCGGTTTCGACTGCTTTCCGCCATGGTAACCGGAAGGGCACTATTTGAATCCAAGCTTGCAAGGGGAAAAATTAGCGAGGGGGAGTTGGAGCAAGTCTACAGGTTAATGTCAGAACATAGAAAAATTGATTGATGCTATTTTTCCTTAGAAACTTACTGGCTATACTTGTCGTTGGCGTTGGAAGACATTCAGAKGATGTACAGTTCTCGCAATACTTCGCAGAGCAGTTCAAAGTACAGTTACCAGTACTGCAGGTTTGCTTACAGTACTTCACTGATGAGGTACATTCAAGTGAACAGCCACCATTGGTACACTCTTGTTCACAGAACGCCGACGAGCAGATCACTCTTTTGCAACCCTCGCCACAGATTTGCGTACAGTTTGATGAATTTTCCCCACATTTCATTGACGTGCAATTCTTGTTGCAGAATTGATGTTCAACGTTAAGTGCTTTGCTATCCATGAAACAAGAAGTTGGTCCTTCTGTGGTACAGGATTGACTGCAGTTAGCAACATTCTCGTCGCACTTCATTGTACAGTTTTTACTTTTGCACGATTGCAGACATGCTGCAGAGRAGCACTCGATCGTATTGCAATCACCTCCACAATGCTGCAAGCAATGCGTCGTTGCATTGCATTGCAAAACGTCGCACCTTCCTTCGCACAGTTGACCACAACTCTCGGAATTTCTGTTACAAACGATTCTTTGGCATTTTCCAAAACAATTTTGCATACAATTCTTATAGCTACAGGCCATAGATTTTGGACAAAGGGACATCGGCTCCATGCAGCTTTGAGAGCAACCAGTCACCAGTCCAGGAATACCATTAGCGCAGTCCAGTGAACAGTTTGGCCATCCACAACCTTCCTGGAAGCATTGCWTGGATAATGTGTCARTTTTGTCACAGTCCTTGTTGGTATTCACTTGAGGATTACCTTCGTACGTGCAGATCCCACTGTTGCATTTCGACTTGCATTTTCTTGCATTGCATTCAAATTTGCAATTTCCATATAAGCATGTCTGTTGACAGTCGTCCACGTTGCTTGTGCACTGCAATGTACATGGAGGGTTTCTGCAATTCGTCTTCTGTATGCACTTTCTCTGGTCACAKAWYGTGTTCCTACAAGTCCCAGTRCAATCCTGTTGACAGACACCACTTGCATTCCTGGTGCACTCCAAGTTGCATTCCCCAGAACATGTCTGCTTGCAAGTTTCTGAATGGCACGTCATGGCAGTATTCTTGCAATACGACGTCGAACATGTTTGAGTGCAGTTCTCTGTAKTGCAGTAGCAGCTTCCGTCGTAGCATTCTTGGCTGCAGAAGCTTGGAACGAGACACCGGTAGTTCCCTGGGCASCCCGCACYATTACTGCATTGTTGTAGACAGTSWCTGATAACAGAAGAGTCATAATCAACACTGATACTACAAATATAACATTTTTATTTTACGTTGTTGTGATATGGGRASACTTTGTCAGATCTCCTTAACCAGAAACTCTTGTTGTATGTATACGACGACACGCTCCACACTTACTCATTTTAAGTAAACGACGTCTCTCCGCAACGGCGGTGTCAGATTTTCATGGGCGCTATCCGTCAAACCAGTTTTTGAGATGCTCRTGTCAGATCTGTATCAATGCTTTCGGATTTTTGTCTGCGCTTTCAGTACTAATCAAAGATGTTAAAATGGATTGAGCATATTGGACCTTTGCATTATAACGAATTATTGATTACTTCGAGATTTCTTCAGCAATAGCGGCAACGCAGTACCCAGCACAGTGCTAATTAAAGCATGCAAACGCACGACAAGTTATTTAATAACTCGTAAATGAACTGGTACTTCTGGATAGCTAACTCATAGACGTGACTAACTTCTGTGTTTATGAATACGTTCAATTATCAAGGATAATCTAGTAGTGCTTACCTATAGCCTTGTTGAGTAGGGCAGCTAGAGTTACAAGTGTCGCTTCCGTTACATTTCTGAATACAGGTTAAGTTYCCCAAAGATTGGTTACATGTGTTGTACGTCGTCCCGTGAACAGAGAGGAAAACACAGACAAGAAGAGATAGGAACATCATTGATAGGAACGTTGGCCAGTTCATGGTGATTTTGTTCTGTATAGGACAAAAAGTACTCATAGTTAAGGCAACAAAGTAACTGTGGAAGATTTGCTTACAACTGTTTTTATTGCAACGCGCTAATCGAGACAGAAGTCACAACATGCAAATAAGCAATAGACAATTTAAATTCAATCAAATTATTCATTCCCTTGTACCTTTACGTTCTCTAAGGATTTATTTGATTGATGGTAGTGTTTTGCCGATTCAATGGAAATGATTTTTTTCTAAGTGGTAATTATATTGTATCTTGTTTTTATATAGTTTATTGTCCTATCACGAGAGTGACCAAGGCGTAGCAATGGCAATGAAAACGGTGGTAAAACTGATGAAACTTCAAATACGCACTTCGCAATCGACATTAATATTTGAARGTTYTCGACCAAACTTCTGAATGAGTGGYCGCGATGTGTTATATTATACTTATGCTTAGCGCATTAAACTGACCGCTCGTCTCGTTGTATACATTGGGTGACTTTATAAAAGAAATTAAGAATTTTATCTTGATTAACCCAGTTGAGGGTCACAAGTCAATCAATAAAACCACAAAATGCTTCTGGTTTGTTTCTCTTTTCTTTTTCTCTTTGATATAACATAATGGTTGCCAAGAAACAACCCTAAAGTAAAACTCTTGTAGGGGAGACCTGGAATGCCGGTTATAAAACGGCTCAGTCACGTCTACATCGTGATTGGACAAAGGGTGTTTTCGCGGGTTTTGATTGGCTTAGAGGGAAGAGTCACGTCGCCAAAGGTTCTTCACTTCCAAGAGAACGATATCGTGTGACAGACCTATCTGTTTTTGCAAAATATTTTTTTGCTTTCAGGATACTCAAAATTTACGAAATACTTGGATAAGAGGAGAGACAAAATACGCAGGTCTTTGTTTACGTTACTGCTCGCTCTCTTCCAAGTTCAAAAGCAAACAATTGCGYATTATCTATCCAAACTATCCAGTTATTTGCATGTTTGTCATTACTCTTTCTCTATTTGTAAAATAAAGTTCAAGGTCTGCCAAGTAATCTAGTGACGTTTATGATCAAAATATTGGACGAATTACGCCAGCTTACGTCATGTAAGTGATTGTTTTTTGAAAATACATTAAATTCTCAAGCATGATTAGGTGACAATTTTGACAATTTTATATATTTTGATTGGGGAATTATCGTTTTAAATGTAATTAATCGAAAGTAAAGTTAGACGGYCTGAAAATATAGTTCAAAGATTGATTGACCTCTTCATACAAAATTCACTGTAATGGCATTTTAATGGCATAGTCTAGCAAGCTAGGCACTTCGATCGCATTATGCGGTTGACATGACAAAGCATGCACTAGCTAGCGTGGAAAGGAAATTCTTTCATTGTTCCAAATGATAGCTTTAGCGATTCCCGCATAAACACCACACGGTTATCTTGGCAAAAATTCACAAACTTCATCTCCCATGCGTTGCTAAGTGTTATGCCATGGAGAATTAAAATGTACTCCAACTTTTCTAGAAAAGACAGCGCATTTACACATGAGAAGCTATTTGTTTTCTGGGTTTAAACCTAGCTTTTTCCGTAAGAAAAATACCTGTGTTTTCGCTTACCTTCTATTTGTTGACTTAAAATTAATTTCCAGTTGTTCGGTTGGATTTCACCGCCAAGACAATCGTAGTTGCAAGAACAGTTATAGATARAATTAGAGCGTTTCCGGCGGGAAACACGTTGTCTCACTGGGACGAACTTGATGGTTTCGATTCCRAGTCACGAATGACTCTTATTAAGTGAATGGATTGGTAAGACTTCAGAGGAGCCCTCAACCTGATGATTGATCAAAAACATCTATACTAATATTTACACTTTGAAKAATATCTTTATGAAGACGTGCAAGACGATTGGAGGGATTGCGGAATGTGTGTTGCGACAAGTTTTTTGTTTGTTTACGATATATTGCATTTATATCTGCCCAAAGGTATCCACAGCAACCCTAGYATTGCCATTACCCACATCACATGTAAAAAATGTAAAGTTTATTCSAAGCTACGTCATTCGACTTGATGTCATATCATAATCACTGTAACATTGTYAGTTATACTTTGGGAGCATAGGCAAAGATAATTGAGGAATCTTCCAACAACCTAGTGCCGAACTTTACTTTTGTCAGTACCACATGTCCATATCTTTCATTCCCTTCCTTCCTTCCTTCCTTCCTTCCTTCCAGTCTTGACTTTGGCCATCCATCCATTGCCTTCGTTCAGTCTCTCCCTGCGAATCCCGCCTTCTACTTGTCTTCTTTCTTAGTCTTCCTACTTTCTTCAGTGTCTTGTATGCCAACTGTAGCCTTTTTCATTCAGTTCCCCATTTTTCCCTTGCCGCCTATTCCAGCATTCRAATTTATCTCAATGGTTCATTTGTTTCGCGCAATTAATAAAAACAGCAAAGAAACTTTATAAGTTAGCGATGTTTACTCACTTTATTGGGCATAGGAATCAAAGTTTACTCAGCTGATGTCTGCAATAGCGCTTCAAAAGCTACGGTCGCTTAAAATATTTGCTGGCCAAACCTTTCAACTGCCCGTTTACGAAAATCTTCATGATTTATCAGAATACATAAKAGTGCTTTGATTTGCTATTGGAAAAAAAGCCATTTGATTCTCACACTGGACGTCAGTTCCGAGTAAGTACTCAAGCAGACCTAAACGAAATCAGTAGAAATAAAAGCGGAAATCCTCTATCAACGTCGACTAACAAAAGCATTCAAACTTGAACAAAAGGATATTGAAGATATTTTTTCTTTTTATTGAAACTCTTTTCGGCTCCAGAAGCATGAAGTTAAATCCTGCTCTTGGGTTACCTGTGGCAGCTATTTCGCGCGCGTGTTCTTTGACCATGTATCCCAGGAGTCTTTGCGAGCCCAAGGCACGAGGTTCATGGCAACGAGGCTGTTTCCAAGCCGTCCTCCATTTTGAATTTTCTTTTWTTCTGTTGTCTGACTTTCCCCATCTTTCCCTTAATATTTTTCATCTTTCCTTCCTTAATAATCCGTAAAGATGGACGCAGAAGAGACTGCTATTATAGAAGAATACGGTTCTTCTTTAGAAGACCTAACTTTCAACTCCAAACCTCTGATAAATGTGTTAACAATGTTAGCCGAGGAGAATAGCAAGTTTGCCTCAAGTATTACAAAACTCATCGAGGAACGCATTTATAAGGTTAGTTTTTGGTTTATAAATTTGTCTTAAACTATATTGAACCTAATGAAATTGCCATGTAATTTTATTCTGGTAATTTAAAGTCAATGGAACTATTTCGTAATATGTTTTAAATATCATTGCACCATAAGGTGACGAAGCTAAATATCTAAGCTTAAAGCCAGTTTGTAAAAAGATAAACAACCTAGATAGTTTGTTGCTTGTTTTATTCTGGTTATCATAACCTATTGATATTATGAGTGTCTTTAAATAGTATTATATTTATATATTAGGATAACACCACTTTGGTCTTGCACGTATTTGGAAACTTGATCTTGCTCTAAATGTAAGCTTATACTCAATGCTATAAGCCTACATTGATTTTACTTATTTTTCAAGTTAGATCATTAATATTGTTASAGTGTTTCGTAATCAAAGAATCGCTCAGTGACCATAGAAGACATTTTTTTATTGTATGTGTAATATCTTATATAAAGTTTACAACAGCTGTTAGACAATGCTGGCCAAAATATGACATTTTTAGTCAAAAATTTGCCCTTCTGGTAATAGTCCCTTGTAAATTTTAGTCATTTCCTTTGTTTAAGATTTTACTTTTGTCAAAAGTCTCTGGTGAGATTCGGTAAGAAACAAGTGTATGAAAAGTCACTGATTTGCGATGGGTGACTGTGTAGGTGTAAACGTTTTTGGAGCAAGACAACAGGTGGCCACTTTTAGGTGTTTAAAGTTGTCGCTTACTTCACAAGGAACTCTGTGTCCCTTGTATATTTATCTTTTCAGTAATCTTTCAGGATTTAAGCAACATTCACGAATCAGTTGTACTGACACATCAGGCCAAACAAAAATTAAGTGTGTTTCCTGTTGCACCACCAACCCTAATTTTCTTGCCGATTTCTGCTGACCCTAATATTTTCTCCATTCTTAAATGCACCACAGGGTTCCCAGTAGGCTCTTTTCAACTGTTGTGTCAGTCAAAAAAAATCTGACCTACCGACCCCAATTATTTTTCTCATGCAACAGGAAACACACTTATGTTTGGCTTCAGCTATATTGCATGCGAAGTCTGGAGTTCAAATTTTCTTGCACCCAATTGACTGCTATTTAAAATGTTAATTGTTTTCAGGTTCCACAACAACACAAACTCCCCTCTCTGTATCTTTTGGATTCCATTATAAAGAACGTTGGTGGTGATTATCTAAATTTGATAGCACAAGTACTTGTGAAAGTATTTGTTGCTGTCTTTGAAAAGGTATATATGATAAGGGAAGATACAATTTTTATTGGGGTAAGGGCTGGGGGATTTGCAGTAATCTTTTAAACATGTTTATAGCCTTCTGCCTTTTACTTAGTAAGAAATTTATGACTGTCCTTTTAAGTCATTCAAGAAACTAGCTTTCATCAAAATAAAAACCTTTGAGCCTCCACAAAACTTCAAATTTTCACTGATGAACCTCCCCTCTGAAGCTACAGACCTCTCTCCAATAAAAAACATACCTTCCCTTACCTCTGTTATAATCTAGATACTTCTAGCACATATTTATTGGTAGACATTTGCTCTCCAAAAGAAATATTTATAATTATTTTGTTTTACATTAGTATTGGAAATACTGTCCTTCATACTGTTTTTTTTTTAATGGTTGTTTAGGGGGATGAAAAAGTGAGGAAAGACTTATACAAGTTACGGCACACCTGGCCTCAGTATTTTCCTGCTAAAGTACTACATGAAGTTGATGTTAACATAAATCAGATAGATAATGGGTGGCCTATCACTGCTATTCCACCTCCATCACCATCAATCCATGTCAATCCAAAGTTTCTCAAAAAGGTTTGTTTTGGTACTTTTTTTTGCTTCTACTACATGATGATATCCAATGAACACTGATATGAATAGGTAATTTTAGATATTTTTTGAAGTCACAGGAATAGCTTAAATGATATTAAATTTGGGAATCAAGGCTAAGGTAGCATGGCACGGATTTACTCACCTATAATTTCAGGGGTATTGGATTTGAGTAGAATTTTTTAGGTCTCTCCCTTGGATTGAGGATGTTTCTCCTAGTTTTTCTCCCTCCCCAGAACCTAAATTGCAAAATTTGATCTGTGAGTTAGCCATTTGGAAGCCCAGAGGTTGTTTTATAATGTCGATATATAATTGATTTTAAACTTCAAAGCTTAAATAAATAATTAAAGAAACAGGTTTTGAAAAGGCACTTCTTGATATTCCAGGCAGAAGTAAGTGTTCCACAAGATTCTGTACCAGAAATAGTCATAGATGATAATGAAAAAGTAATACTACTGGAACAGCAAAAGAGATTACAAGAGCTTCAGCGATTACAGGAGGAACAGCTTCGCCTCACTGAACAAGAAATACAAGAACACCAGATGAAAAGAGATTTGATTCTGAAAAAACAGGAACAAGAAAGAAAAGCCTTTATAACTCAACAACAGCAGTTACTATTGACATTAAGACTGGGAAATAATGTTGGAGAAACAGAAGAGATTAGCATGGTAAGTTATGGTTGTTTTCGTTTTAAAAGTTCTTTTCGTTGCTCGTTTGCGTTGAATTTGAAGATGTGGGGCTCGGTGTAAAGGCTGGGTCTAACTAGTAAAATAATTTTTAATGTATATATATTTTAACATCTTGATATAATTCTTAATTATTTTACCACTTGTTTTTAGTCTTTAATTGTAATTTGTAAAGCGCCATTGGACAGAAATGGAAATGGCGCTAAATARGGATAGAGTGATTATTATTATTATTATTCTCTCTCTCTCTTTTTTTGTTTTTGTTGACCATCCTTGAGATAATGCATTGTGGATATGATTCAAGCAGTAGACCATATCTATTACTTTGTTTAAATATTGTGAATAAACCTTTTATGGGTAAGAATTCAGATTCCTATACATGATGGTGCAAAGAAACCGGTGCAAAGCATCTATAGATGTTTTTTTTCCATCATTCCCTTGATAATAAGATTCACTGGATTCTTTGTTCGAGTTGTATCCATATTAGTGGGTCTTCACAKGCACAACCATTAAACAAAGATATGATACTCTAGGAAATGACACAAGGTCTGAAATGGGAAAATATTACTCCCAAACCAAAAAGGCCTATCATAGAAATTTTCTTTGATAAATTTTCATCTATTTTCTTAGCCAAAGTCTTCAAGTAGCACTGGAATTCAACCTGTCCTAACTAAAGCTGAAACCACACAATCCAGTCAAGCCACAACCATCAATAGAGATCCAAGGCTACGGCATAAAGATCAGACTCCTTCACATAATAATAATAACAAACCACAACAATCGAGACCAAATTTTAGAAATGAACRTAATGTGGACAAGTCCAAGCCTGCTGAACCTGTACACAAGGAAATAGACATCTATAGAGGTGCAGGAAGAGGTCGTGATCAGAGAATTAATCGGTCAAGTGAAGAACCTCATGGGATTAAGAGAAGAAGTAGAAGTCAATCACCTCTTGAAGGGAGAGAAAAGAAGTACCAACGTTCTGATAGAGATACAAGACCAGACTCTGATAGAATTTCAAGACCAAGAGAGGATATCAGAACAAAAAGAAGGCGTAGTTTGGAAGAGGATAAAATCAGTGACTTCAAGAGAGAGAGGAGCGATGGACAAGGACCAGAAAATAGAAATTTCAGGGGAAGAGGATATGGTGGAAGAGGAAGGGGGTTAAATGGAAGATCAGAAAGGGAATCCAAACTTGGTTTTGAAAGAAATGCTCGAGATTTTGAAGGAAGAGGTGGAAGAGGAAGAGATGAGAAACCAAAACTTCGATTCAAACGACGCCAACCTCTTGAGGGAGAGCAATGTAATCAACGTTATCCTGGTGAAAAAGCTGGTGAACATGGACCTAGACATGCAAAGGAAGTGCCACAAGGTGATCTTCATTCTCATCAGGAACCAAAGCCCATGCCAACTGATGATAATCTTGTTTTTACAAAAGTTAAAGAACCTGAAGGAGTGCCTAGTAATGATGCTGAACTTGCTACAGTACCACAGGAACTTACATTGGAACACAAGGGTGTCATATTGGAAGAGGTATGTCAAGACCTTTAAGCATTTTTTTAGAGATCCAAGAATGCTGCTGTAACTGAGCAACATTTAACTACCAATCTCTTATTAGGCTATGTTCACATTGTATGGCAGGGGGGGGGGGCAGGTGAAATTGAGCGGGGATCGGAAAAAAATTGGTAGGAAAAAGGGGGGATGGGCAAATTTGTATCAGAAAAATGGGGGGATTCACAATTGTTGGAAGAAGCTACAAGCCTTGCTTAGGGGAGATCATATTTTTTTGCATGACTTTAAGGGGGGTCTTGAGAATTATTCTGGACATTTCAAATTTTCACCTGCCCCCCTCCCCCTCTGCCATACTTTATGAACGCAGCCTTATTTAAAAACTTAATGAAAGCCCTGACTCACAGTGATTCCATTTGACTTGTGAATCAATGTCTACTGATATCTATCAGACTTCAATTTCTATTTTATACAATTTATTTTATATCCATCATTAATGCTTCATACACAGACTTGGCTCAAACTTTTTATGTGCTAGATTTCTTTGGTTTAATGAAATCAGTTTATATGACCTGATAGAGACAAAAGGCACAAATAATTCCCATGTACCTTTACATACTCTAAGGATTTATGTGATTGATGGTGGTGTTTTGCCGATTCAATAGAAATGACTTTTTTTCTAAATGGTAATTGTATTTTATCTTTCATAGGCAAAACGGCGCCTTGACTTAGGGCTTATATCACAGGACCAATACATTGAACTGATAGACAAATTAGCAGAGTTTTATGAGTTACAAAGGAAACAAGAACTGGAAGGTGCCCAACAGTTTACTGATGTTCAACTAAATGAAAGGGAGCCTCAGCAGTTACCAGATGAGCATAGACCCCCAGAGTTTGAACATCAAAGAAATGAAAGCATTAGAGGAAGAGGAAGAATTGGACCTGCTAGGACTAATGGACCACGGATGGAAGGTCCCAGACATTCTCAGAAAGATGGTCCATTAAGGAGAGGACCTAGGATGGAAGAGCCGTGGAGGAGAGAAGGACCTGGAATGAGAGGAGGGCCAGGAATGATGAATAGACCACCTCCAATGAGAATGGAGGGAAGGGATGGACCTGATTCTTTTGAGGGCCCTCCAATACCAGGTAGAAGAATGAGAATTGAAGAACCACACTTGGATCCACATCATATGAGAAGGGACCATCCACGAAGAGAAGGGTCACCACTCATGGACTTACCAGGGCCTCCTAATGAAAATGGGCCTTGGAGGACTGTAGACCATGACAGAGTACCTCCTCTTCATGATCTGGGACCTCCTAATCACCACAGGTTTCCAGAAGGGCCTCATCCAATGGATGAGGGACGTCCTGGTCCATTTTTACCTCAAGGCAGGGATGCAAGGGATTTCAGAGGGCCACCTCCAATTGATGACTTTCACGGTGGGCCTCCAAGACCCTTTGAAGAGCCATTTGGTGGAGAGCCTCACCACCCCCCTGACATGATACCAATTGGACACGGCAGACCAGTGGAACACTTTCAAGGACTTCCAATGGGCCCTGGTCACCATGGGCCTCCTCATGAACCACCATTACAACCTATCCAAATGGCTGGCTCTCCTCTTAGACAAGGTAAGTTTCCTCATACAATAAACTAATAGCTTGTATTTAATTGTGAAGTGAAGGGTGTAAGAGGTATGCCATGTCTCAACAAGATTGACATGACATCATCAATAAGATATTGTGATGATTATTCTATCTATAGTAATTAAGAAATAGAGGATAGTAAAACTTTTAATTGATTATTAACAATGTTGTTTTTGTGTTTATTAGGTACTGGAACCCCTCCACCTCTAGCTGACCCACCAACTCCTTCCAGAATGGAAAAGAAAACTGTAGATGATCTCTTCTCCAGATTAGTCCATGCTGGTATTATTAAAGTAACTGAAGAAAGAATAGCTGATACTCCACCAAGAATAGGAACCCCGCCCATTTCTATACCCATTCAACCCATCCTCCCAGCACAGCCCATCCCTGTATCACAACCAGGACATATTCCTCCTATACATCTTCCTATACAACAGCAACCACTTCCAGTTGCTCAGCCAATAATTCCATCCAGTAAAGTTGTGGTACCATCATTACCTAGTCAAGCAGTTCCAGTTGTTTCACAAGCAGCAACATCCAGCTTAAACTTACTGCAAGAGATGATTGAAAAATCCAAAGAGGCTGCTACAAAAATACCACAAATTGGTCTGAAAAATCTAGATGACTTAAGAAAGTAAGTATATTTTTGCTGTAGTGGAGATTTGAGTACATAAAGCCCCCCCCCCCCCCCCCACCCACACACACACCAAAAAAGAAAAGAGATATTATAATATTATATAATATCTCTAATAATATTATATATATAATTATATCTTCTCATAACAGGCGTCATATTGGTATCATCAACATGCTCTATGAAGGAACACAGTGTTCATCATGTGGCCTACGATTTGCTGGTGAAGCTGCAGCATTCTACAGAGAACATTTGGATTGGCACTTTAGAAGAAATCGAAGAGAAAAAGATGGAAGGAGGATTGCCCACAAACAGTGGTACATTCCTCTTAAGGTGATAACAGCAGCATAACATGCAGCAATCTTATATACACAGCCATAAAGCAATAGAGACTTTACTTAATAGCAGGCATGCGCCTGGAGTAATAGAGAAGTAAAGGGGTTCTATTGTTCTGCCATCTAAAATTGTCGCCTGCATATCATCATATGAAACGCCTATATACATCAATTTCAATAAACGTTGTCATCGCCAAAGGCAATAGGCGTTAGGTCATTCCAACATCGAAATGGTTTCGTTGAATACAAAGAACATTGAATCCATCTGGTCTCAACACTAAGGTCCATGTTCTTGACGAGAATGAGATAGAAGCAGAAACACAAACACAAGTCATTCCAACTATTCTTGGATTTTGGAATGACCTGTCTCCTATTGTTTTCTCCTATTATTATTTATTTGCATTGTTACATCTGTTTGTGACAGGATTGGCTTGATTATGAAGAAATTACCGACCCCGAAGAAAAAGGTACCGTAGTTCATTATTTTGAAATTTCTGGTTTTTTTTCTCCTAGTACTGAAATATTTTTATCTCATTAATGAAGTTTTGAAATGCATTTAACATTATACATTTTTTTTCACTCCTAGCTCACAGTTCCTTTTTTGACTCCGAAAAACATGAGAGTGATACTAATGAAACTAATAATGTAGAGGCTGATGGCAGTTGTCCTGTTTTACCTGGTGATAAAGAAACTGAAACAGTAAGACAACATGTTCACTGTGTCCCATTTCAAATCATGTGCCATTACCTTGAGTATCATTTCTTTGTTTATCATTAATGCTTTACACTACTTTTTCTCTGCTGCCTGTGAATTTACAATTTATTTTTATTCCAGAAATGTGATGTTTGTCAGGAAAAATTTGATTTATTTTGGGATGAAGCTAATGAGGAATGGCGCTACAAAGATGCTGTTAGAATTGCTGGAAAGGCAAGTAGTTATATTCACTAATTCTTATAATAGAAAAATTTTGAGGTAAAAGATATTACCCACTACACCTCTTTGATTAGCGAAAAATTTCTTAACCCCCCTGATCACATCCAGTTTTGCCCCCCCCCCCTCCCCATTAGCCTCACCACCCCAAAAAAGCTGAAGCTTTTGAAGCTTGAAATCATTTTTTCAAGTCTTTCTTTACAGCGTTCGCTTAGATCGCTCATTCACTGTGATGATCAACACATCTACCATTATTTCACCACAGTTCTATCCATTCAATATTCACAATGAAAGCTTTGCTATTGTGTCTTTTTACCCCAAATTTCAAGAAATTGCTGGTGAAAGAAATTTCAAGATGAAGTACTGTGCATAAAAAGACAACAGCTGTAATACTGGTGGTCACGAGCTACTGCAAATACCGTCTAATGTGGCTTTTATTCTACTTATCTTAACATTTAAGAAGCAAATCAAAATAAACTGTTTGATCTTGGATGCATCAAAAATTATTTGATGATATCTGATTGCTTATGATTTTACCTTTTACAGACATACCATGATTTGTGTTATCAAGATGCTAAGGTATGTTTCATTTCATCCCTTTCCATTTATTTGTTTTCCTATTTATTTTTCTTTTATTTCCATTCATTTGTACATTTTCTTCTGTGTGGTACCCCTCTATGTGTGCACACAATGCGCAGTGGTAATGTATTTTGTGTACCATCATTGATTATCCCAATGTAAATGTTCAGATGGATCAATGTCAATCAATATATTCTTTTCATCAAGTGTACATGTCTTTTGCATACCCCCTCCCCCCGATTACACTTGACATTTAAACTACCTATTGACTGCATACTTTGATTTATGTCTTATGGTGTTGTCTTCATGGTAAGATGTGTTGTCTTTATGCATGTATTCTTTACCATCATTCCATCACACTTTAGTGCCATATATATTTTAGTCTTGTTATAACTGATATTAAAATAGTCTATAAATGAAAAAATGTACTTATATCTCCATCCATGACTGATGTTGTTGTCTACCTGGTAAGAAATTTTTTAAAGACAAATAAATTGGATGTGTAAAAAGAAAGATATTCTATCTGCCATCACAGATAAAAAAATTTTAATATCTTTATTGAATGCACCACTGATCTTCAAAAAGTGGTTTTGTAATTTCAATCAAAAACTTGGAAAACTATGCACAGTCCACAATTTATATTAAAAAAACTCAGAAAAATACACTCCCATCACCCATGTATCACCCCAAAATGTAATAATCAATCTCCCCTCTCCACAACCCCACTCTACTGGGGAAAAATTCCAATCATTGCATGGTTTCCTTGTAGTAATGTTACTAGTGTGTTTTGTTTTTCAAATAAAGGCTTCTGACTCCTTGAGTGTTTACTATTCATTACTATACTCTTGCTACCTTAATGTGTTTTTGACTCAACTTTTTTATAACTTTTATGCTGATACAGGCTGTATTTTAAAAAAACCTGTTTGTAACATTACAGGTTTCATAAGTCTTTACTTGAAATGTAAACTGACTCCCAATTTTTTAAATTCAAATTATCACTCTTACAATCCATTATTTTCATAAGGAGATAAAATTTTGATTTAAAGATTTAAAGAGCGCACATTGAAGTCTCGTAGCTTTTTTTTGTAAACTTACAGTTTATAAAGGTAGTTTGAAAAAAATTATGGTAATAAAAAAAGGTAGTTTGCCTAACAAGGAATGTATTTTTCTTTCCCTCTTATTTCGGTACATCTCCTTGCCTTGCATTGTTTCTTTACTCATTGTGTTAACTGCACAGTCAACACATATGGAAGAAACAGATCCAGAACCAGAGACAAACACAAGCAAAGATGCTATAGAAGAATTTCCAAAGGCTGAGAAAGAAGACACAGATAGGGACAAGACAGCAAAACCTGATACCAAAGAAAGTCAAAGCTCAGTTGAAATTAAACAGGAGTCCAAAATGGGTGAGGATGAAACGATAAAAGAGGGTAGTGTATCTAAGGAAGATGAGGTTTCAGATAAGGGAAATGTGTTAAGTAAAGAAAATGTTGTAGAAGAGGGAGAAAAGGTTGAAGATCCAAGTAAACAGAGCACTGAAAAGAGTGCTGAGGAAATAAAAGAAGTGAAAGTTAATAAAGATATTGATGATACTGGAAGTATCAGTGTTAAAGATGAAACAACCCCTGTCAGTGAAAAATGATCCCATTCACACCACTGGAAATTGCCTACAACCTTCAGAAGTTTGAATTAACAAGGAAATGAGTGCTAGAAAAAATGGAACATGAAAAAATGAAAAAAATTTCTTGAGAATTGTGAAAATTATGTAAATTGTTGTAGGACCAAACTTGTTTGTGGATTGTAATTGTTTTGAAGACGGATCATTGGTACCTGTGAATTCCAGATATACCTAAATGCATACACAATCCCCCATTCACATTCCCCCTTGAGATTTACTCACATCACTCATATTGCTATTATCTCCTATCCTTACCATACTTGTACTTTACCCTGTACAGAAGAAGATTCAATAAAGATTATCTTCAACAACCACTTTGTGAGGGTTGTGTCTATAGTATTTATTAATTTTGTAATTGTAGTATTTTAAGGGGAATTGTTGATCAATGTAAATTGTTTCTGAATATTGTTTTAAGAGTTCTTCACTCAAGATTATCCATTCTTCGGCAGCTTCAAAGCCAGTACATTTTATTTGTTTGTAATAGCTAGCAGTTTTTGCTCTTTGTTAAATATGTATACAAGTATGCTTATATCTATACATTATTATAAAAAGATTTAGATTTAAAATTGGTCTAATAATTTCAGGGTGCATCTGCTTTTATTAGGCTAATTCCATTTTGGTTATTGCATTTATCATGGGAGAAACAATTTACCAATTCAGGTTCTTGAATACTGTATACAATATTTTTCAAGGACAGTGTGATTTATGTTAAGATAATTAGTTGTTTCAACCAATGAAATTGTATGTTTTCAAGACATGAAGAGTTGGACAAATAAAGCACTTTGAAGACCCTATTGCCTGTTGTGTTCATTTAAGATTAAAATAAATGCATCAGCTTAATTTAGAGGATGACATATGACAGTCATAACTGATAAACTTGAATTAAGCCCTCTATTTTTAACTTCTCTGAATAAGGTGATGGTACCGCCATTTTATGTGGTCATCTGAGGTATGGCGAAGGTTATTTCTGACCAAAGGCAGAACCTTCTACAAAGTTATTTTAAGACCCTGAGGTATGGTTATGGCAAGGGCTTGAACCATTCATTCCCGCACAATAGTTTATGCCCAACCAACTGGGAGGTGGTAGGTTTCTACATACACTTACCTGACCCCCACTAGGGTTTCACCTGCAGTAGCATTAATTAAAAGTTTAGTCCAATGCTTTTCCATGCCACCTAGAAACTCCTCAACGTATTGCTCTACTCATAAAAATACTTCTAAAAAATTTCTCTATATGCTGAGCATGAAGAGGGAAAGGCAGAGGCGGAGCTAGGATCTCAAAATGAAGTGAATGTTGCAGGGTACGAGCGTACCTTGAGTCGATACCACAGGAAACCCATAAAACTTGGGAAATTGTCTCAAAAAAATTGAGGCCTTGAAGAGAACCCAGCAAAAAATGAATTTTTTTTAATTACAAAAACACTTATAAATTTCTGTAGGGGAGGGTGAGGGGATGACTAGCCAGCTCTCCTTACCACCCCTGGATTCGCCCCAGAGAGGAAATCAAAGGGAAAGCACTGATATTGCATCAGAAAAATCAACGAAAAATTCAGTCCATATCATAAATATTTCGGGTACAACATCGTGTAAAATCCTCTTGTTCCTGGACTCCACAGGGAGCCCAATAAAATACTGTAGTTCCAGTCTCCTACGAAACTAGTCTCTTCCGGCATTTCCGAGAAATTCCAAAGTCTGTAAACATTTAGGATTGGCCACTGTTTCTTTCCGTACTAGTTATTCTTCGACTTCTTACACTCAATACAGTGACTGATCAAGAATGGAGGCTTCAAGCTGGCAAAACAAGTTGTCTACTGTCAGAGAACGTAATCTGTACGCGTTCAACAAGTCCTTGTTCTGTGATGTAAAGTTCTCTGTCTTGGACTCCAATGGAGGACGAGTCACTCTTCAAGCTCACAAGTACGTTCTGGCTATCAGTAGTCCTGTCTTTGAGGCCATGTTCTACGGGGAATTGGCAGAGACTGGTCCAACTATCGATTTACCAGACTGCACCAAGGAAGGATTACAAGAAATGCTTCATCATATGTATTCAGACGAGGTCAGCTTAAACGGAAGTAACGTCATGCAAGTTCTGTACCTGGCTAAAAAATACATGTTGCCGTTCTTGGAACAGAAATGCAGAGAATATCTTGAAGAAGAACTCAAACCAGAAGATGTGTTTGTAGTATTGCCTCAAGTGAAACACCTGAGAGATGACAAGCTCGAACAACACTGTTGGGATATGGTTGATAGAGAGACTGAACGAGCTGTTTCATCTGAACCATTTCTTGATGTCCCTCATGAAGTGTTGTGCCAAGTTCTCGGTAGAGACAGGCTGAAGATCAGAGAAGTTGACTTATTCCAAGCAGTAGATAAGTGGGTTTTGAAGAGAATAAAGGAAAAAGGAATAGAAAACAAGAAGAAGATAAAGAGATCCATTCTTGGTGAAGAAGGCATTCGTCTCATAAGGTTTCCACTCATGTCACTGAAGGAATTCGCAGGGAACGTCCTTCCAAGTAAAATTCTTAGTACTGACGAGATAACGGAGTTGGTACAGATGTTTAGTTCTTTAGCTCCATCAACAAAAATGTTTAACGAAAAAAGTAGGATTAAAGCTAGTGTTTTCAGTAGTCGATTCAATGATTTTTCGGGAGACATATGGAATTATAGCGGTAATATCGATGCCATTGACCTTACAGTCAATAAAGCAGTCTCTCTCGTTGGTGTRCGTCTAAATGGAAGCCAAGGCAATAGTTATAATGTGGAATTAACGATTTACCAAATTGACACGGTTCTTGCATTTAGTTCATCAAGTTTTCAAACTGAGGACAAATTGATAGATGACCAATACCATGGGTTTACCGTTACCCTTGACAAGCCTGTTCCTTTAGACCCTGGAGTCAGGTACACTATAGCAGCTAAAATACAAGGACCGAGATCTTACCGTGGCGATAATGGTAAAGAAAGCGTTCAGTGTGAGGATTTGGTGATTCAATATCTTCCATCCACAAAGTCCAGGAATGGTACAGGTGTAACACAAGGACAGTTTCCATCAATCATTCTAGAGTTAAGTTAATTACTGAATATCTACTTATTTGGAAGCAGGATACAAATGTTAGGTGAGGATATTTCATTCAACCTCAGTGACTGTAAACTATAAAAGTAAATGGGATCTATACTATTCCGAAAATGAAAAGTCATCAATATTAAATACTTTGTCTTGGACTCTATAGGAGGGAGAGCTTACAAGTACGTCCTGGCTATCAGTAGTCCTATCTTAAGGCCATGAGGTACGATGATGCCCCATTCAACACAGATCCGGGTTAAAGTAACATTTGTCAGATTTCGAAAGGGGTCCAGAAACATTCTGTGCGAAGATTTCGAAGCTGAACCCACTTAGATGCTTGCAACCTATCTGCTGATAAAAATCCTAATGTCCTGAGCGAAGGGGAGGGGGAATTCAGTTATATTTATAGGCACTGATGTAACTGAAACGCATTTTATTTCTATAAGTTCTTAAGCTTTTTCACGTAGAAAATGATAATACAAAAAGTATATATACGACGCATTACTGAAACAATGCTTATATTAGTGCTCACTGTAATTGTATCATCACTCTATAATCCCATATAAGCAACTATTGTATTATTTTCAAATTCTCTTTCCTGTCCAAATTAAAGATTATTTTGGATCGTTTCCATTCGCATTCTTTCGAGGAAAACTATGACTTAGGGAATCAGTCTAGTATAGTTTGGGATGATATAATTAATCTGCAATAGAACTACATGTCTCTCCAATTTAAAAGTAATTGAATTCAAAAATTCCTGTGACTGCCAAATTGGACTCGGATTATCAACCTCTTCCAATTTTGTCAGTCCTCGGAATTTTTTTCATTCAATTATTTCCAAATTGGACAGCATGTAGTCCTATTACACATACTAAACATCTAACGTAATCTATATCTTTATATTAAACTTAACTATCTTAAACTTTCCCTGCACTTGTATTCTCTGTTAGAGATGAATGCTGAAGGACAGGACATAACAGTTTTAGAGCATGCTGTAGATAACGACTGCTATCACTTGATTCCAGATACAGAGTCGTGATCAAAGATTCAATAGCTTCAGGATCTTGGGATTCCTTCGACACGGTACTCAAACAACCTGCGAACTTACTGGAGAGGTTCGATATCTCTCTACTTACACACACTGTTAACTTCTTAAGACTTTGAGCGCGAACAAGCGCAGAAGTGTCCGTGTTTTCTGCTAACAGAAGCAGCACTTCAGCAATCTTGTGGAACTGTTCGATTGTGGTGGCTGTAAGCTCAGCTAGCGCAGAAATGCCCGCAGTAAATATTTCTAAGTGGTCTTTACTTAGAGGATCGTCGTTTTGCTCAGTGATGCATGCATCAATCCATTCTCTAACTCTCTTGTCAACATCTTTTGTCTTGTTCGGTATGTGGGTCAGGTTAAGATCCTTGAGGAACTCCGAAAGTTCACTCTCAAAGTCTTGTTCTTCGTCGTCGTCATTTTCTTCTTCATCCTCAGTAAATTTTACGACCTCTTGAATTGTTCGCAGCAAAGGTTTTACAGACTTTAAATCTTCGCTTGACAAATCGATAAAGTGCGCCTCAACCTGAAAGATAAGAGAATGCTGCTCAAAAACAATTTCAAAGTTGCTCGTTATTCGTTTGCAAAGCAGGAGATTGAAGAGCACACAACCGGCAAAATTGCTCGTAACATTGCATTTCAAGATATGTGCCGCGCATACCAACGCCTTTAGAGTATCCTACTGCAAATATTCCTCGGTCTATAGCTCTACAACAACTTGGAAAACAGAACCAAACTAGCTAGAATTACCTTGGAAAGACTATCCTTGGACAGGATCTCCAGTGCTTCTAGATGTGCTAGTCCCTGGAACTTATCAAATTCTGTACTGAAATTAACTATGGCTTCCTTGTGGTCGGGATGGGAGGCTTTGTATTCTGCTTCTTCCTTTGCTTCACGAAGCATCTGCAAAAGAATACAAACGTTTTAGACATTGAATCAGTGACAATACCACTAGTCCTCATTAGACCCTCCCCACCCTTTCGAAAATGTCCTTCATTGGTTGAGTATTGTAGACTTTCTGAAATTAGACCTATTTACTTTTAATGTAATGTTTTCCTATTTCAGATCATTCTCTGAATATAAGATTCTGTTTGAGTGGTATCCATATTCATGTGTCTTCTCATGTATAAGTGTTAAACAAAGAAACTATACTCTAGGAAATGACGTGGTCTAAAATGGAAAAACAGATATCACAAGGTAAAGAGGTCTTTGAGCCAAAGAAAGGGTCAAAAGTATTTTCAATAATAATGTCCAATACCTGGGATAAAGTTGGTTCTTTAGGCATTAGAACTTCTCTCCTGCTCCTCAGACCGGGGTCTCCCTCTGATATCACATCCATGGTCTTCTTGCCGATGTACTCCAATGCACCAAGGCCTTCAGAAACAACATCAGTCAGACCTCGCACACCAAACCCTGCAAAATACGAGCTATCTTCCTCCTCACCTAGAGAGAGAAAAAGAACGGCTGTTTGTATTTGCTTACTAAAGCCTGTTTCTTTGGGAACTTGGACACCATTTTTGTGGCAGCATTATTCTGATTTTCCATTACAAAAGAAATAACTGACTTTTTTCTAGCACTAGACTTAATCTATCAACTCGTAATCAAGGCAGGTACCATAGAGAGGAAGGGAATAATGGWAGGGGGTGGGGCTTTAGTCTAACTACATTTTGCCTAGTAATATATTTTACAACCACCACCCCTCAAACGGGGCTATTCCTTCAGGTTCCCTCCACACGCACTACCACTACATTCTATATTTACAACATACAACACTCAACTTACATGTTGCTTTTTACGGAGGGAGGAAACCGGAGATCCCAGAGAAAACTTTTGTGGCAAGGGAGAGAACAACACATCAAACAAACTCAACTCACTTATGATCCAGTGCACTTTATTCCTGTACAGTAAAAAATCCCTACCTCTAGCTTGTTCAATACTCTCTGGTGTTGGTCCCTCTGGTGGAGATTCTGTTGTTGGTTCAGTTTCAATAACCTTTTCTGGCTGGTTTTCTTTGGCCTGCTTCTCATCTTCAGTTATTTTTTTAGCCATTACCTCTGGTTCAGGGATCCCAAGTGATGTCTCTACCTTCTCAATGACAGAAGACAATCCTGATGACACTGAGGACAACATGGTTCCCCAACCACCCCACCCCCATACATCTTCACAATGAGGTTCAGCACCCTCTTTTGGTGGAGGCTTGACACTAAAAAATGTTAAAAAAATAGAAAATAATATTAATATCTATATTTGAACCTGACCAGTTTAATGGATATAAAATAGTTTGCAAAAATAGGGGGGATAGAGTGAGAAAATAGCAAAAACCGGAGCAAAATTTATCATTCAAAATCRCTAAAATTTCAAGTTCCCCATTACTACACTCCCCCCCCCCGCCTCCCCGATAAATAATTAACGATCCCTACTAACCTTTCACCAACTGCTTCTGCAGACTTCTCCGACGAAATTTTGTCAACTTTAGCAGAATCCTCAACATTAGCTTGCCTTTCATCTGGGGCATTTTCTTTCGACTTTTCTTCAGCGTTACTATCTTCTTTCTTTTCAATGGAACTTCCCTTTTCTTCTTCTACTTTAATATTTTGAAAGTCTTCATTGTCGTCTTCTTGATGAGTACTTTCTTTGTGTACTTCGAGTGTCTTGTCTACCTGTGTCTTCTCTAACTCACTAGTGTCCACATTTGGCTTCTCTGAGTCGATTTTAAACTGTATTTCATCATCATCACTCACATCTTGCGCAACGGAGCCATCTCCAGAAGGCTTTGAATCTTCGTTTCCTTCTGGTTTTTGTTCTTGAAGGTCAGAATGAGATAGATCTCCTTCCAAGTCTGCAGACTTCGAGCTCCTCATGTCAACCCCTTGATCAACACCCGTCGGACAAGATTCACTACTATTCGAGGTATCCCCTTCCGTTTTCTCAATTTCCTCCGATTTATCTGAAGGTAAAGAAGAAAAAGTTTCTGGAGCAGCCATTTCTTGTGTTTTTTGTCCTGTTTTCTCCTTAGTTACTTGACTTTTTGACGTGGAATTTTTCCCATCGTCAGCTGACGTGGCTAAAGATGGCGGTCGAGGATTTTGTCGACTTTCTTCGCCTTCATCGGCACTTTCGAAATCGTCTTCGTCTTCACTGCTCTCTGATTTTACTCGATTGCTTCTCTTAGGTTTATCCATCGCTGATCATACGTTTTAACGGTGTATAAAATATGTTAAATTTCTCCACAATTTTTAGGATCGATATTCGATTCCAGAACCATTAATGACCGTGTAGGCCTAGGATCTAGACACATGTTGTGGTTACCATTCTTCCACGGCAATCTATGGAATCAAAGTTAAGGTGGCTCGTGAATGCAAATGGTGTCGCCTAGCGACAGCTTCTCCAAATTAAATCCAAAGGCTATTTAATTTTGCACAAGAAGAAATGTTCCTAAAAGAGTTTAACCCTAAATAGGTTTCTTACCAAAACTGACCACATTCTTTTTCAAGATCTTTCTTCATATCAAGACAATAGTGAAAATTAGCATAACAAAAAAACTACCGAAAGGGATTCTGGAAATGTAGGTATGAAACGTCATCAAGCTTTAGGTCTATGATAACTACACCTTTATCACAACAAGCGGACAGTAAAARTAATTTTTATCTCTAAGACCTTAAAAAAAACTTGGACAAGCCGGCGAGGCAAAGGAATTTTTCCCCCCCCGCAGAAACTAATTTTTTTGATTCCTAGCTAGCGGTGTGCGTGCTATTTGTTTTATAATACGCAAATTACACCTTTGTTTCATCCAATCAGATCAAGTAAAACTGTTATCATGACAATCGAAACACACTAGACATCAAGCCCATTACACATAGAACTCGATCGAAAAATGATAGAAAAAACTTTTAGCTCTGAGAAAAACTCTGTGGATTTTCGTTTGTTTGTAGTTTTAGTATTTTATTAGTAACAACATATTACTGAAAAACCATTTATGAGATCCGTTAAGTCAATCCATTTGCAAGAATAAAGTTCTTTTATTGTCAAATTTCTTTTTCCAAACGTAATAATCTTCAAAACTGAGTGCTAATTTTTGTTTGCCATGGTTTAAAACTTTAAAAAATAGTTTTTTTATTGAGTAAAAGTGGAAAATTATCCAAACCAACAGTATGTTTCGCCTCGCTTTTTCATTAAAAATACATCAAAAATGGTAGGTTTTGTTTCCAAAACCCCTTAATTTAAAAATTGCGGTATTTTGARATGTGTCGGCCTTTGACCAGACCATCTGTGTGCGATACATTGAACTTCCTTGAGTCTGCTGAAAAAAATGTAACAAGTTTTCAAAGTATATGAAAATCATGCGAATAATAGAATGAAATCATCTGATTTACAGGAAAAAATGTTTTGTTGATGGCTTGAAATTGCTTGAAATGGCTCGAATTCGTTATCTTATAGGTGTTGATTATTGTTTGTTATCATGTTATCATTTTAACACCTTTTCTGTTCAAGTTATGATTAATTCCCACGTATCGGCCATTCCTTGCAATCATACTAGATGTGAAGCTTCTATTTCGAAGGTAAATGCTTGAAAATATACTGAAACACCACAACCACATCATAATGGTTGGTAGAATCAAAGAGATTTCAAAACTGTGGACATTCTAACGGTTTTGGAGTTCATTCTGTTGTGGAACTTTTTTGGATAAAACCACAAGTGCGCTCGAAAGGCGTTACGTGAAGATTTGGGTCAGGAATAAAATTCGTTGAGAAATACTTCATGAGACGGTTCAGGACAAGAAGACGGTGATGAAAGCCCGGTAAAAATTGTATACCAAGGTAACTATAATATATATTGCACCTATATTAGGCGAAGTAAAGTAGGAATTATGAAGTTATTATAAAAAAATATGCAATATTTTGTCATACACTTCATTCGAACTAATAAACTGGTCTCATTACAGAAACACCATGTTCCACAATTGTACGTTTTATTTTGGAATCGAGCTTTCAAATTTCAAGGAATTAGGAAGTCATTCTGTAGTTATCGTCTACAAATATTTTGCCGCTTATTCATTAATTTTTCTTCAAATTCTTCAGCTTCTGATGCTTGAAAAGTGGAAACTAATTTGAAGAGATGTTTTTCCAGATTTTCAGGTGCTCAAAGAAATCTTTAAGAGTTTAAAACTTTCCTTCTTTTTCTCTTTGTGTTCACTAGACTTTGCTTTTGAGTAAAGAAGAAGAAACAAAAAAAATTAATTGTTTAAACAGTTTTCTTGCTTGGAATTAAAACTAGATTATGTATTGATATCTAAAGAAAATCTTACAAGTGAAGGCCCGGATTCCGAATAAGAATCTAAAAATCTTCTCAAAAGGTTTGCTATTTTGCCGATAATCATTGCAATTACATGTAAGATATTGTAAAATGCATATGCAGACTGACTTTTCTTTCCAAACTGCATATTTATAGAACAAATAGACTTTATTAATTCATAGTTTTAGCTTTGATTTCTTCAAATGGCCACCTCTTTAAGTGCAATATGAATATTCATGATCATAAGCTTTTGATTTATTTATCTGTATCAGCTAGTTATGTTTGGTAAAATATTCAAAAGCTGTAAGAGAAATGACCCAAAACTTACAAAAACTCTGAGTTGTAGTACATGCAAGATGAATAGCCATCTATTTTTTGTTCGAAAAAGTATTCGTACTAGATACAAAAACCACCCAAAATCTACCAAGACCATTGGCTACTTAGTCGAAAGACAAACAATGCATGTTAAATTTTTAGATAATGATAAGCATTCGTAAAGCGCGTATCCAGAACTGCTGTAGGCGCTCAGGAAAAAAGATTACACGAAATATCGCAAATTGAATGCTAATTTAAACAAATGAGAGATGACTTGAAGAGCGAAAGGCTTGCATYGTTTCTTATTGAAGACGGAAGAGAGTGCCAGAGTTCAGGAGCATAAAAGCGCAACCATAATTCTTCATATACACCATCTTACACAGTTTTACAAATATTTTTTAAATAGGAGTTATAGTTCAGTGGTTAGAGAGCATGGCAGGATTGGACAAAACATGGAAGTATTCGTTGTTCATGAGGAACCCCAAAGAAAGAGCAGGAGTCATGTCAAGGCTGTCATTCTGCTGGATGAACAGCATTATAAAGATAGGCAATCGTCGCGCGCTTGATCCGTGCGACCTTTATCCCCTCCTCGACGAAGACAGATCCAAAGAATTGACTGAAAAACTCGACACGTCCTGGAGTCAAGAGATCCAAGATTCGTACCTTAAAGGCAGGGAAGCCAGGTTGACAAGAGCCTTGATACGAATCTTACAATGGAGTGAATTTGCTTTATTGAGTTTTTCATTGTTCATTGGCGTCGCTTGCAATATTCTTCAACCTCTTCTACTGGGTCTCTTGCTGTCCGCGTTGCTAGGGAACAAGAATGCACGGGGTGATCCGCTGGTGTATGTGTTCTCGGCTGGTTTGTGTCTCAGCTCGCTGCTCAGAGCTGTCGTGCTCAATCAGTTCCATGCTAAGGCACAGTTACTGGGAATGCGCTGGAGGTCGGCAACAACAGGTCTTATTTATAAAAAGGTATAAATACTACAATTGCGCAATGCACATTGTCTATTGATATGTTTTGACGGTTAGTATGTCGTATATTGCATGTACAGCGTGCGCAATACACATTAACTGATTGTTCAATGTATAATGAGTTATGCGCCACCTTTCTACAAGCCCTGTATTGCATATATACAGTGCGCAAACCATATGCGAAGTTTGCGCAACGTACGGAAAAATAGCATGTATACTGCATAAACAGGCACGCAGATTTTATGTATTTGTGGTGTGGACAGTGCGCACTTTGTAGACTGCACAATCCATGTGAATGGAGTTTGCGCAATGCATATGGAAGTAATATATGCATACACAGCCTGCGCACTGCAAACAATGTGTAATTCTTATAAATTATACAAGATTTCCATTCCAATCACATCCATTTCCAGTGATATATATCCAATCCATCTCAGTCACATCCAATCCATTTCAAACACATCCATTCCAATCACATCCAATTCATCTCTTTCACATCCAATGACTAGTCCTTCGTACAAGTATATCTGTGAAAAATCCATGATCAGTCAATTCAAGCAAGTTCCAGCTTTTGTCGTCCAGTATCACCCTGTTTGATTAAATACTTTTTTCAAACCGTAGGCTCTGAGAATGAGACAAAAGGAAATGACGAAGACATCCAACGAAACGGTCCTCGAGCTGGTAACACGTGATTGTCAGCGCTTTGACCAGGTTATTCTAAAAATAGGATTCCTGGTGGAAGGCTCTTTGGAAATCGTCGCCATCACTGCGTTTCTATGGCAACTGATAGATCTCCCAGCATTGACTGGTATGGTGTTCGTGGTGTTTCTGATTGGCTACTACATTGGTGTATGGGATGTGTGCATCAAGATGAGATCGAGAATAAGACACTGGCTGGATCGACGCATGTTCATCATTAAAAACATTGTGTCCAATCTCCGGTGTGTTAAGATGAATGCTTGGGAGGGGATATACAAAGAGAAGGCGCTGAAATATAGAAGGTTTGTGGGGATTCTGTATATATTTCCTTACATGTAGGAATGTTAATCAGATAATGCCAACCAGAAGGCAATCTTACAGCATAAATCTAAATATGACTAGAAATGTTTATGATTATTTCTACGCGCGAAAATCGTATCGCACGCAAAATCCTCAAAAGTACTTCAAATTGCGATTTCTGCTGAACAATTGACCGTAATCTCCGTAGCAACCTACTGATAAGTATCAATCACGTGAATAAGTCTCATGAATCCAATTATCGCCTTTCAATGTCAGGTACCCAAGCCCTATCCGTCATTTGCTATTATTCATGCACAGGGTTTTATGATTTTGTTTGATTTAGACTTGGAATAAAGACAAAGAGTCCTTACACTCACCATGCTATGTGAAATAACAAGTTCTATTCTATTTATTCCCCCAAGTTTTGAGCATTTTAAAAAATAATTCGTTATCGTGCCGACACCGAAACGTCGCGCTACTTTGTCTTACTTTTATTTCGTTTTGTGTTTTTTTAACTTTGGAATTATATGTTGTTGCAGAAAAGAAGCACAAGTGCTGGTGCAAAAAAGCGCCATCTTGGCATCCTTCGCAACTCTATTCTACACCAGTACAACAATTGCAGTGTTCGTTTCCTTGACAACACTAGCCGTGGCTAACGTGCAACTCAACGTGTATAACATCTTCATGACTGTAGCGCTGATACGAATGATTAGGCTTTCTTCATCGTCGTTGTATGCTTCAGCAGTAAGCTATATCAGTGAATACTCTGCCTCTGTCAGTCGCATCCAGGCGTTTCTTCAAATTGAAGAACCATCCCAACTTGGAACGAAGAACAATAAGCTCAAAAGGTCCCTTAAGTCTAGATCTTTCCTCGACTTGACAAAGAATGAGCTCTCTGAGTTCATTACTCGAGACGACGTCAACAAGATTTACTCTGACATCAAGAAGACTTCGGCTCTTGAGGTTCCGAAGTATAACGAAGAGTTTGCCGAGACTTCAGATCCTGAAAACTTTCCCGAGAGGTTCGTATCTTCGAGCAACCTAACTTGTTACTGGAATGGGGAAAACAAAGCCCCTGTCTTGCAAAATTTGACATTCAAAGCAAATGCTAAAGAGTTGACGCTCATAAATGGGCCCCCAGGGTGCGGGAAGTCGTCTCTTTTAGCTGCAGTCTTGGAGGAACTGCCTGCCATTGAAGGGACCATTGCGCACGAGGGTAAGATCGCCTATGTACCACAGAACCCTGTGATTTTCACACAGTCTTTCAGACAGAATATTACCTTTGGTCGAAGTTTTAATCCCTTTCGGTACCAGGCTGTTATCAATGCCTGTAACTTGCAGAAACTTTTAGATAAACTTCCCGACGGAGATTTGACGATCATAGGCTCACAGGCAATACAGCTGACCGATGACCAGAAGGCGCGCATATGTCTTGCGCGCGCAGCATTTGCTGATGCGGATATTTACCTTCTGGACGATCCACTCAGACTTGTCAACACTAAATCTGCTGAAAAAGTATTTGATAAGTGCATCTGTGGACTTTTATCTAAGAGACTTCGCATTATGGTCAGTAGGCAACTGCAGTATGTTGAACGAGCCGACCAAATCCTAACCATGCGAGGTGGGACTATAATCAACGAGGTGACGTCACCTATGATGGGTTATAGACCTGCAAAGCTGCACGGTGTTGGATATGGGAACGATTTTAAAGAGAGAGTGAATGATTCATTGATGAGAGATGAACCCGAGGTTATGATTCCGTCTGACAACCATCAGAACGCACAGGTCGTGGACGCTGCTGTACAAACCGTAACATGGACGACTTACTGGGATTTCTTTAAGATCGGGTTATGGAGTCCACTGATTCCAATGTGCTGTCTCATATTCCTTGGTGTGCAAGGTAGGAATTATTACAATAGCATAGGAATAATATGTCTTGTTTTACGTTGTCTCACGCGGCAATCAAAATGCTACGTTGTGAAGCGCAAGCCCTTAAACTACAGGTCCCCTCTGGATACCAGCGTTTAACTTAGTGGGGCACAAACTTTGAGGATGGCAGTAGGGATGATAGTACGAGTAAATTGTAGCGAGGAAACAGGAGTAGAATGATAATAGTAATGATAATTAGCATTGTAACACCTACACTAGAGTGCATACCATATATCCGTAAAAACATTCGTCAGGGATATATATTGCACAGATTTGCACAACTTAGTAAGTTCAGTAGACCTCATCAGTAGACTGTACACCTTACAAAACTTTGCACAGTAATTTGTACAAATTTGTTAGTTAAGGTTTTAACGAATATTAGAAGAGGATCCAGGGCTATCCCAAGCGCCTTTGCGTGCTTATTATTGTTTTCTTTGGTTTCAACTGGTTAATGTGCATCTTTTTTTGTAAATATAATTCTASTAATAACCAAAACAATACTAGATATTTCTTTAGTATTTAATGAAGTTATGTTCGACTAATTTGGCAAACAAAAGTAGTCAGTTGTAGGGTCTGTACTGAACCTGAAAGTACGCCAGTATTTCCGCAAGTATCTCTAAATTTTCTCGAAGAATTTAAAAAATAGATAACGATAAAAGGTATTACATACACTCTACTTAAGTACAATTGGTTCTTTCAACCTCGAAAATATTCATTTATAGCGGTTTAAATGGAATATGTTATACCTCACACGCAATGCATGACTTGATAACCCTGGATCCTCCTCTAGTATGCACTCTAAATCATTCTGAACCTCTTTTTGACAGTTGCTCTAACAGCGCCAGACGTATGGCTTCTGTACATCRGTCATACATCAACCAACCTGATGACAAGCGATGAGACATGGTACATCTACGCAGCCCTTGTCGCAACGTCTTTTTTCCTCGTCATCATTCGCGCAGCGAYTTTCATCTCCACCACTCTCAGGTCATCCGATCGACTCCACGATAAGCTGTTAGAAGCRATACTCAAAGGACCAGCTGACTACTTTGATAACAATTCTAAACACACGATACTTAAGTGTTTCTSCAAAGACGTGGCGTCAACGGATGAGCTTCTCCCTGGGGTGTTCCTGGACGCCATGCAGGGCACTCTATTCAACTTGTCTGCTCTCCTCCTGCCGTCTTTTCTGAATCCATTTATCTTTCTTTTTGCGATTCCTCTGTTGCTGTTGTTCATCTGCTATTGGAATTATTATCTGAAAGCATCGAGGCAGATTAAGRTTCTTGGGACTAATAATTGTTTACCGGTGTTTAAGCACTTCACTGAAATGTTAAATGGAATTATGGTTATTCGACATTATGATGTGCAGGAAGAATTTACCGAGGAAGTATTCAGGTAACGCATATCTTAAAATCCAAAATTAGACTTCGTCCATTTACTCCGCACCCCGCTTCAGGGTCGTGTCAATTCTTTTTTCTTCTCGTCCACCCTAGATTCTACTTCAMTCTTTAAACCCTGGAAAAGAAATAAGTAGCTTTTTGTGATTCTTCTACGGGCGGAGTGCAATTGCAGTGCGCGCGCGCTGCGTACGCTATAAGAGGCTCGCCAAACCTCCCCCWAAATCAATATCAATGATTCTAGCAAACAAGCGCAGTTAGTATCTATRATGTTAAGTACCTTCTCTATCTTTGCTTAGGTACCAAGACACATACAGTCAAGCATGTTGTGCTGCAGTTACGTGTGAGGCTTGGATAGGTTTGCGCATTGATTTGCTGTCCATGGTGTTCCTGTCTATCGTTGTTTTTGGTGCGCATTTCATGAAYTTAGATGCAGGTAAGTAACTGTTATTCTATGTAACTTTGCGCGTTAATCAAACTTTATTATATTTTATGTAGGTCTACCTAATTTGCRTCAAACTCGGTTAACTTTGATTGGTGGGCTGTGACAAAATACGTTGCTTTGTAAAATGTTACCAACATTGAATTGGTCACTTACACGCAGCAATATTTCTTTTCTAAGCCCTAACAGGCATATCTTTAGTATACACCATACAAATGGCCTGCGAGATGTCCATATATGGTGTTAAGCGSTGCTCTGATGTAGACAGCTACATGACATGCGTACAAAAGGTGATGGACTTGGCCAAGATCAAACCTGAACCCGGCTACAACATCCGGACCCGTCCCCACGAGCCTTGGCCGAGMGCGGGACGAATACACTTCGATCATGTTAGCCTAGCATATAAAACAGGTGGGAAGAAGGCTTTAAAGGATCTGACCATCTCAATCTACCCCCGCGAAAAAATAGGAATCGTGGGTAGAAATGGCACGGGGAAGTCTTCTATCATTCACGCCTTGTTCCGCATGCCGGAAATCGATGGCAAGATTATTATTGACGACGTGGATGTCAAGGGAATGAACTTACAGCGCATGCGTCAGGGAATTTCCGTCATAACCAAAGATCCCATTATCTTTTGTGGCAATGTGCGCGCCAACGTCGACCCTTTTAACAAACACACAGATCGACAAATCTGGGAAGTCCTTGAGAAGACGCATATTCGAGCATGGGTAGAGGCGCTACCCAAACAGCTGTACCAGGACATGGGGGAGTGCTTATCAACGCTGGGACCGAGTGAGAAGCAGCTCTTTGCTATTGCAAGAGCACTTCTTCACAACGCTAAGATACTAGTCATGGACGAGGCCACTGCTGGCGTCGACTACAAAACTGACCKGCTAATCCAAGAGCTGATACGATCCAAGTTCAGGAATACTACTATTATTACCATTCCTTACAGGCTGAGCACTGTTATCGATTATGAYCGCGTAATGGTTCTTGATAACGGTCATATCACCGAGTTCGATAAACCGGAGAAACTGTTGAAGAAAAGTGATGGATTTTTTGCGCATCTTTACAACAGCCAATGCGCAATGTAATCTTCAGTTATTCGCTTTAAATTACAACAAAAACCCAAATAATTGATACGTAATAGAATAAAAAGCTAAAGAATCGCTTCTCTACTGCGCTCTCTGTATAAACTTAGACGTGGTTSTTGTTGTACTCAACTGGCTGTCAGTTCATATGAATCTTGATAGCGCTCCGTTTAAAAGTAGTTTTTCTTTGTCCACCAAAGATCTTGGTCGATAACATAAAGTAATTTACTTTAGTAAAAACACGTTTGTTTGTAAGGCCTAGAAATAATCTTATAAAAATCTAATAATCCTTAACAATATCTGGTGTTAACTAGTAGGACTAGCGTGGACTGCGTCGGTGTTTCTCAATAAAACAGTAGGAACTTGTAGATAAATTGGATCACAGTGTAAAAAGCTTTGTGAAACTGACGTTTTGGACCTTAGTCCTTCACTTCACAGAGAATCTTTAGTCCTAACACTTACTCCGACGAAGGACTAACGTCCGAAACGTCAGTTTCACAAAGCTTTTTACGGTGTGATCCAATTTATCTACAAGTTCCTACCGCCTTAATAATATCTCATAATTCTTCTTAGTACATCATAATAGTCCCTTTCCCAGTTCCCTGCGCCATCTTGAAAGGTAGCCGTGCCTTTGCATCGAAGCAAGACGAACGGTGAGCTTGCAATAATAGAGACCTTTTTTAACACTTTGGACAATTATTCACGTCACTATCATTGCAAGCTTACCGTTCGTCTTGCTTCGATGCAAAGGCACGGGTGGGTACCTTTCAAGCTGGCGCAGGGAACACTATGTGAAGGGGACTATTACCATAGCAAACCAACTATTGAAAGAATAAATTTCCTATACTCAAAATGAAGTAACAATCCATCAGATCATGTTTGGTGATCATGRTCCCTTAATCCATCAATCTGTTATGTACTTCATTTATGCTTTTTTGGTAACACAAATACGTTCCGCTAAATCTGTAAAAGTTCTTTCTCCTAACTCCCTGGTTCTTTGATTCAAATCAAATTTTTTAATTGAGTAGTTGCAAAAAAAAAATAATAATAATAATAAATTCATAAACATAAATGGTTAAAAGAATACGAATAAAGTGGGATGCAAACATGATAAATTTTTTCCATGTTTTCCCATTTTACCTCCATTTTCCCTGTTTTCCCCTTTGACAATTAGTTTACACTTTTAGATAACAGCATTCATAAACATAAATGGTTAAAAGAATACGAATAAATTGGGATACAAATATGATAAAGTTTTTCCATGTGTCCCATTTTTACCTCCATTTTCCCTGTTTTCCCCTTTGACAATTAGTTTACACTTTTAGATAACAGTACCTCATTCCTTTTTTTTCATTCTTGAATTGTTTATTGATTTTTATTTCTATTTTTAAGCAAATGAAATAATTCTAGAGATAACTATGATCCCCGTTAAACTGTATAAGCTCACGTAGTCATGAATAAAGTTAAATTGAAGGGAAGAAAAATGAGAATTCTACAAGCAATAAAATTGGTAAATTCATCAGCAACAGAAACAAACCTTGAATACTTAACTATAACTTTAAAAAAACAAACTTGGCTGTGAGTTTTGAATTTTTTCAGATTTAACTGATATTTTGTTGATGCATTGTCAATGCCATTGTACATTATTCATTGTAACATTKATATTTGCTGCATGAAAATTAAACTCAACAATTCAGCTGAATGCTTTTGTTTGGTTACAATTTTGGTTGAAACTTCAGCTTCAAATACAAAAATGTTTTTCCGTTGGACAGCATAATTTGTACACTATCCTTCCACCTTGTTTATTCATGTCCTAGTTAACTTTTGTGAAAAACGTTCAATAATATTTACATGTAACTTCTTCTGTAACTCTTCCTCCATTTAAATAGCATACATTGAATGTACACTGTAGTCTTTAGTATACTATATATTTTCCCATATTTTTGTACATAAAATAAATAATGTCCACTAAATCCTACTTCAATAAACGTAATAAAAATTTGACGGGCCAGGAGAGCTGTGTCCTCTAGATCTGTTCATAAGACTTTGTAAGTGTCGTGACTGTTCAACGGCAGCAGTCAGTCTTCTATGAAAATCTTTATACAATGCGTCACCGCCGCGAGGTACTCTGAACATAAATCCTTCAAGTGAAAGCATACACATTCCTTTGCCATTCATTAAGAACTTATCGGCAGTTACATCTCTTACATTATATCTTTCACTTGCCCACTTAAGCCATTCRAGAACTTCCCACTTTGTCCAAATTCGAGGATCTACAGATGAAACAAAATATGGTGGAAGATTTCAATATCTTTTCATAGTTACTTATCCATACCCTCAAAACAACCTCTGGGATGATCAATATCAGGGCACGGCTAACTCGCTGATCAATTAGAATTTAGCTTATGTTAGGCTTTGCTAGTTGAGGAATGCTTGAGAGCCCAGGAAAAACCTTTGCGATCAAAGGYCTATAACACTATCTAAAGCATTTTATGCAGGTTAATGCACTGCTGATATGCCATCCTTGATTCCCTCTTTTGCATATCTAACAGACCTTATTCGCGGTGTGACAATGTTTTTACCAATTCAGCGTGACAAACCTCTGGGGGAATGAAGAGCTATTGTTTTGAAACTTGTCGGGATATAATCGTTATTCCTTTTGTATCCTTTGGGATACTTATGAATTTTTCGAAGAGTAAAAACAAAAGAAAATGAATCCCCTGGAGGTTTGTCATGCAATTGGGAAAACATTGTCACACCATGAATAAGGTCTATTGAGATTCTAATGTACAACTTCCAGAAAAAGTATATTTTTTGGGGGAAAAATGATCATGATTTTACCTGGAGGAACACGAGGCTGTTCGAAATTGAAGACATTATCTTCATCATCTATATCAGGTACAACACAGTCCTCTGTTTCTGACGTACTTCCTTTCTTCCTTGTTGGAGAGGGAATTTCTAAAAGATAAAGTTGAAAAAACATGTTGATGCAAAATGTTTTTAAAACAAGATTAGGAGAAGACTTAAAAGTAAAAATTGTTGCTGTTTAGTGAAAAACTAAAATATTCTCAATTTTTATCTTGGCTTTTCTTGTCTTTATTTGTAAAATTTATGTTGAGACAATTAAATTCTGATGATATCTATTTGTACCATAGTGTAAACTAGCTGAAAAATTCAGTATATTTCCTTAAGTCATCTATTATGATATAGCTATAATTGTAGCCTTACAAGTTTCTATGAAATATTTTAGGTACTAAACAAGCTCACTGCTTTTCATAATGGTGTTTTCTTGGACAGCTTTTTGTCACATATTRCCTTGGTCTTTGATCTTTTTAAAATCTATGCCCAAGGAAGATATTGGCCAATCTCCTCTCTTCAATTAAAATCTAATATAATTGAGAATGTGCTAGATTCCTAAGTTATTTTAGGGTATATGTTGATGAAAATCCCTTGAGATATGTGCAGATATAAAAGATTATTCTGTAAAYACCCACATCAACATTGAAACCTATTCTTTAGCTTTATACCTTTGAAATTTAAGACACTTTTTATAAAGCTCAAGTCTTTGTTTATGCCTATGAAGTACTAAAACAAAGTGCTAGCAATTGTTGTATTCTGCTTACATCTTGAAGTAGATAGGAAAATATATGGGAAATATGCCAGACAAGCCAGTACTAGCTGGAGAACTTTAAAAATCATATAAACAAATTATACCAAAATGATTGATGCCATTTTTCTCTAAACATTGGGACATCTTTTTTTGGCATTGATAAATAGTAGATATTTTTCTGATCTGTGGTGTGTGCACAACCAAATTCTTGAATAAATTTTCATTATTTYTTTTCAATTATTAGGAACATCATGAGACATTTAAAGAATGCAAAAATAGAAAAGAAATGCATGCAATTAATTCCTGCAATTTCATTTTCACAATTTCTTATGACTAGTTAATCTAGAGTGATTTACGTATACTATCAGCTGAACAACCACTATCTCTCACCCACCACGTTTTCAGAAATTTTAGCTTGAAAGTTTGGTTTACAGCACACTTCATCCCACACTATTTGACATGTTATTGAATCGTGGTTTAAATTGGCAACATAGTTACCTACTACGAGAGAGAGTATACAGCTGTGGGGCACATCAGTGCATGATCTTCTGACAAAAAGATTTAATCCATCCCCCAGTCAGCAAACACACTTTCTACTTCAACTCAACGCTTCAATACCAGCCAACGCACAAAAATCTGATGAAAAACAAATAAACCTACTTCCACCACGATTTCATGAATTTTTTTTTAACGAAGTCTTGAAATCGATAAGCGAAAATTCAATTAAAAACCCTTATAGAATGTGAGACCTGAATTCCTTCAAACAAGCTTTTATATAATTACTAAAAACTCTGTTTTTGAAAGTTTTCTTTTTTACTAAAATCGAATCTATTGTTCTCAAAAATTTTTTTTTTGAATATGATCACGTTATTTTTTCTCGAACGTGCATGCATCATAGTATTACGTATATAGAGTCACGCATTGGAGATAGTAAGAAAATAATTACAATCGCTGACAGTAAAATGCGTCTTACAGTAGGCGTATTGCTAAGTTGAATAGTGGTTAGGGTAATGACGGAAACAGCCAACTTTTTTATAATGCATTGTGCTTTGACCATCAACTATTCGAGGTGTCAAATCTCAATCCACCACCTACGCGGAGGATGATTTGAACCTTGGCCTTCTGAGCCAACACACAAAGAACCAACCAACTCGAAATTCCGCGTTAACCTACAACTTTTTCCTGTTATGCCATTTCCCTTTGACTCAGTGAAAAACCTTTTCTCTAGGTAATGAAACACGTTGGTTATCCTTTCAGGACGTCCTAGATTCTTTGGACTTCCGTCGTGAAATATTTCGCGTAGAGAAACGAATTTCCTGAAAGGCATTATTCACGCGCGAGCTTCATTTATTATGCAGATCTACAACAATCCAGAATCTTACCTTGAAAATTCACTCTCAAATCCAAATGGCTCTCATCAGATACACCTTGCTGTCCAAGTGTGAGATTATCTACGAGCTATAAARGAAAACATGGGGTTAAAAAGGGTTATAAATTGTCAGGAAGTTGGTTCAAACACTGAGGCAGATGAAAGGAAATCTACACATAACACAATGCAATATTYCGTGCATTATGTTCATACAGGTCACGTTATGACTTCCAAAGGCACCCCGCGATAAATTTTGAAAATTTAGTAAAAGAAAAGCATGTTTATTGAGAGTAATAGTGTATTTGGTGTMGGCTGTGTAGCGTAACTGCGTTAAATTCTTTTGGAGGTAAGCGTGGAGGAGGTGGAAAATCAATACAGGCCTTTTCTCTTTGTGGTTGGAATGACATGTAAAGAATGCATCAAAGAAACACGTTGGACGATGGTTTCTTTGATGCTAACGACTTCGCTGTAAATGAAAATCAAGCGTACTTTAGGAAGCCCCAAATTTCTTATAAACGTAAAAAACCTAGCGCAACGTAAATCAAAACCTACGCATCGASAACGGAATAAGATTTTGAATACGAACGCGTGACAGATTTTGAACTATGTCCCTATGATGACTTGAATACAATCAAGGCTTGAAAGCGTTTGAATGCAATAATGCATCGGATAATAACGATTTTACCTGGATATTTTGGAAGTATAATTCTTGTTCGCTGACTCCAAAGCCTTCTTGTGCTTCTATCATTTGCTTAAATCTTAGACCGGTAAGAGACAGTTGAATACGGAAAGGCAAGGGTAGTCTTGGCGTTCCATCATCTATTAAGACACTAAGAATGGAATAAAGCCAAGAGTTGTTTAGACATGCACACATCACTAGATTTCCTTAGGATCCAAGGAAAAGAAGAWTTCTCTTTCACACGACTAGCTTACCGTATAACAACTGATTCATTCATCCTTCTTTCTCGTRAAGCTTGTACTATATACGTGCTCTACTCTACTAGAGCACAAAGAAGTTCAGCTTGCGTCGGTTGCACTTTGCGACCAATAACTCGACAAAAATCCAACCTTTGGTTGAAATTTTTGCTCTACTTCACGACTGAGACCTGTGTTTTGAGTTAAGTTTACAATTTCGAGAATTGGTACAGTTAAATGGGCCCGAAATTTTTTCCTGATAACTTCATTAGTACGCAGTCAYCATTACGAGACGATGCAATGCCTAATAATAGAGCTGAAATCAGCCGGTCTCATTTTTATTGCCCAGGGATCTCGGTATCTATGACAACGGACATATATCTTTTGTTATGGTCCGGGCCATATATGGAGAACATAATARGGCTATGTCGTCATCACCCCTTTTTTGGATCGTTTTAGCAATTTTCGCGTTCCGATCACGGCACGCCTAAACCTCGTGTCATCTTCGGGTCACGACAAGTATCCGAAAATACCCCCGAAAAGAAGTCGGAGAAACACATGTAAACCAATGACATCAATAAGTTTGTCKTTTAACAATATGTGAGGTCCTATGGTGTAACGGTTAGCACTTTGGACTCTGAATCCAACAATCCGAGTTCGAATCTCGGTAGGACCTGCAAACTCTTTTCTTCTCCCAATGTTTCTTTTATATTTTTTACCATGAGTATTTTAATTTTTGGCAGCTCTTTCTCCTCAGTTTAAGTAAATCATATTTTTTGAACCAAAATTTGTAAAATCAATGATACTGTATAAAAACTAAAATCAGCTTGAAACTAAAGTTATTTCTATCGATATTAGTATTCTATAAAGCAAAAAAGATGCAGTTCCTATCTTGAAATACGAATTCAGGCTAAAAGTAGTTTATAGAAATTTTCGAGATTATTTAAGAAGCTGTGTAATTAATGTACGTCCGTTCTGAGAAAGCCTTGATTCAGCTGCTACCTGCAACCAAAATAAATTGATTTCGCAACCATCTTCTATTTTTATCTATCAATTTGCAACCTGTTCTATATTTGGATCGGCCTAAACGCTAACTTTCTAATAATTAATTAAAGATCTTTGCTTCCGACGTCACAACTTTCAATAATCCCAAACACTTACGATCTAGCTTTTTTTATGGAATTTTAGCTGTAGTGTATTTCAAAAACATTCCTGAAACTGGTTACGTGCTTCGAAATTTTGTCCTTTTYTTCCTTCTCGCTTTCTCTTCATTTTCTTTTTCTTTCTTTACTTGTTTTCTTCAGTTTCTTAGTTACGTTATTCCTTTCATAATTTCTCTCTATATTCTTTCTTTCTTCATTTTTTTCTTCCTTTCTTCCTTCCTTTCTTCCTTCCTTCAACTCTTCTTTTTCTTTCTTCAACTCTTTCTCCTCTTCTTCCTTCGAATTCTTTCGGCTTCCATTGCGGTTTTCCTTCCGGTTTTTTTTAGCTTAATTCTTTTCTCCTTTCTGCCAATTTGTTTTTGTCATTCATTCATTTTCTAATTCTGTTTATCGCCTGCAGACGGGGACTATATGCTTAATCGTTATTATCTATATATACATATACTCCTGTTTTTAGTAACTAGATGCTTTATCATATAAATTARACTATCACTAGGGTGTGACCATATCACTAGACGGTGACCACTAACGGAAACCCTTTAGCTAAATCTAATTAACGAAAACTAGGAGATCTGCAGAGGAAACAACAAGATTTTAATATTTTTCTTATCTCTAGTCATATATGAAGTCAATACTGTGGTATCACATATAGGSGCTCGCATATGCTCTGCCTTATGAAATCGATCGATTCTTTCAAACRCTAGCGCAAACACCAGTCCCTTGCTCTTAAATTGAACAAAAAGCTCAAGTCAAAGGAAAAGTAGCCCGATGTATTCTTATTGATTTTAGAGTCAAAATAATGACATAGAGAACTGACCACAAAGAGGAATCGATGGACAGTCCCAAGTACATCTACTTATAATTTGATTAAATCAGGAGAACCACCACTCGAGTTCCTCTTCTGAGCCTAGCGAAGATCAACGTTGGTCTCCGTTGGGTTTCCTGCCTTCAAATATAGGAATTCCGTTCTTTCTGCTATCATTTCCTTAGGACTTTCACACAAAAAAGAATTTTGCTTCCTACTGAGCTAGAAATTCTTTCACATTTAGAAGTGATTCAAAATGCTCGTGTTCCTACAACGAAAGCAGCAGAATTTAAGCAATCCGGCGTACTATGTTTGTTAGATAAAAAAGAAAAAAAAAAAGCCACGGCTTAGATGGGCTTTTGTTAACTAAGTCCCGCGTCTCATAGCGATATGATTCGAAATATTGTTGGGAAAGTTTAGAATAGTAAACCACAAAGATTGCACAGCTTTGCCGACTAATATATGATCTTTCCTATTGCAGCTTTAAGGGAGCGGCCATAATAACCAAAACATCAATTTATTGACTACGAGCTCTTTGAAGGAACATGAACCTCTCACCACAGTCGCGCCCACAACATAGTTTGGCTGTAATTAAATGCAGTTTATAACTTGAGCTGTCTAGAAATCCCACCAATTGAGCCTAAATATGTCAAATATATGTTTTATTTTTGTAGCATCACCGGTCATGSATAGAAGATAAGCTTTCCAAGGCGATGCGATCTCTTTCATTATCTCTGCATGGTAGCAGCCTGGGCGACGGACTTCTAAAATCAATATCCCATTGTTTAAATTTGGGTTRGCGAGCTCCGAGGTTTCTTTCAATGGACTGAGGAAGATTATAGTCGACTGGCGCGAGATGTACAAATCAAACATGTTTCGAAGAGTCAACAGAATCATTTCATTATGAGCAAGTGGCAAGACACTATATACAAGGTTATCTGTTGCTGTAGAAATCCCGATAGAATTTCGTACTATAATCTTTTTTCTGCCAACAATGATAAACCTTATAATAATTTTTCCACGATAAAGCAACAATRAATACTTGGAATCATATGTTTAAAATTTTTGACTACAGAAAGAAAGTATGGAATAAATGGAGCTGTCAAAGTTGAGGCAAACTTACAAAGTCCTAATCGTTATCATATCATCAGTCAAAATGCACACACGCAAAGCCGGCAACCACTGCTGCAGTGGGCAATCAAACCTAAGGACCCATAAGAACTAAAATTCGATAGGTGATGTAAGTCTCTGAGGAGCTTGCTTTGCAAGCTATGCGTAGTGAAAAAGATGAATGCTAGTTATTAGAACTTAGAGCAGTAAACTGGGCTGAGGATTAGGAACGCGATTTCCGAATACTAATTTGGCGTAACTCGATATATATAATACGTATAGGTTTAGATAGATTTAGGTAATGCAAGCGTATGCACGCGCGACTTAACTCAAATCATTTAATAGACGAGGCTTTTAAGATCAAACATATCTATACCAGGAAAACTACAGCAAAATGTCAGCGAATTCACTAGTGCAAAGGAATTGAGATAGAAAGTTTTACTTTTCGTTATTGCACAGTTATTGCACGTTATTGCACTGAAAAATGGTGATTTTAAGTCGTAACAAGTTTGAATTGCTAGAGGCGCAGCCATTTGACAAGTCAGGCCTATGGCGATTTACAACGATATCATTAAACTGCAACCTGCTTTCAATCTGATATCAACAAGAATTGAAAGACCTCAGGATCTGCCCCTCAAACAGTATCCGGTTCTGACGTCAGGTCACGTGACGAGCTTCTCTTGGAACTGCAGCGTTACCTCGTAGCTAAGTTACTCTATTTTTTCCTCTTCTTTAGAAGTGCTTCTTTTAGTGCCATCTGAAACGAGAGTGAAAAAAATGCGGTAATGACGTGGAATTGAACCGGAACAAATTCGCTGCTTTGGTACGAGCTCCTCTTGACCCTGAGAAAACTTCCCTGACAGACGGTCAACTGTATTACGTTWCGAATCGCACTACCACTTCATCAACGAGTCAGCAACTTCGAGTACTTAATACATTCATATGAGGTTTACCAATGAAAATAAGCACATATCTTGCTGCGCAGATGTGTGTGAAGTGCCACAAAGTTCCAAGATTTGAACAACCAATTTTAAAACAGAAGATATAACTAGCTAAAAACTAGTGTGAGCTGCGTCGGTGTTTCTAATGAAACAGTAATGATGAAAAGGTAAATTATACACCGTGAAAAGATGAAAAAACTTACTGACGTTTCGGACGCTAGTCCTTCGTCGGAGTGATTTTAAAACAGTATTACTTTTAATCATTTTGATTTTTTTTTAATCAAAAAAAATCCAAACAATTTTTTTTATCTTCATCTTCATCATACAGCATCTGTATAGAATTTTTTCAATTGGAAATACTATTGATTCTTTTCATTGACGAGCAGTGTTTAATGGTAATTCAGCTGATTGTTGGATGCAAGTTGCATGCCCCACCCCTCCCCCACAAAAAGTGAAACGACGACTCAATTTTATCATGTAAAATACGAAAGGAAAATGAATTCAAAGCCTTGAGATGACCATCCAATCGTTTCTACGCAACGATAATATTATTTTCCCAACAAAAACACCACCAGACGTCATTTAAGTACGAAAGCTTCATCCTCGCTTTGTAACTGTGACGGCACTGACGTCAGAGAAGTGACAATAAACGAACAAAAAGCTCGGMGGAATACTTTTCGTAATCGAACAGGTGAAGATACATACATCGYCTACTTCAATATCATTTGCTAGGATTTTTAATTCGTTTTGCGCGTTCTTCAGTTACGACAATTTTTTTTCGAAGGCTMAATCAATGCGACCCCTAGTTAAGAAACCAAAATCCGTAATAATACGTTTTAGGGCTCATTTTTTCAGAACAAATTTGCTTTTCGGGGTTTGCCTAATGATGTCCTGATATCTTATTGGTTTTGGAAGATGACGTTCATTGAGGTGTTTGTTGGCATGGAAACGTACTAATTGGTTATGTTTGAGAAGATGGTAAAGCGGGGGTTCTGTAGTAACTCTCAAAAGATTCGCATTCATAACTAATGATATCTACGTCAAAGGAAAAACACATCTGATTCTGAAGTACGTAGTTCAGTTTGACCCTTTTCTTAAGAACGGTTCTAATTGTTTCTTCAATCATCTACTTTATGCGGTTTTCTGTAATGGAAAATCTTGACAGTGATATACTAATGAAGGCATGAAATAATGTTGTAGAATATTTTCCTATTATTCTGTTTATAAGCCAGTAAAATGTGAAGAAATGTTAAACGTAAAAGTTTACCGTTTTCAAAGCGGAGCTTCTTCATCAGACGTGATTCTTGAATGACAAGTAAAATATAATAAAATAAACATTATGTTTAGCTTWTTTTGGTTTTTTGAAATCTCAATAAGCGACTCTGGCTCTTCGCAACGAATATATATCTATTATCATATTTAATCAGGAAGTTGGATTCAGCTTATTTGAAGTTCTAAAAATATCCACGCGATATTTCACTAAAAGTAAACTTCGTAAAAATGAAAARCAAAAGCCTTATATTTCTAACTTCTCACAAGGTCGTAAATATAAATATATTCAGAGGGAGATGAAGATTTTTCGACTCAATTAGCTAGGTTTTGGGRAGAGGAATTCCGGAGAACTACTGGAAAAAATCCTCAAAGCCGATGAGAGACGTGCAAACTATGCTCACATGGTCAAACTATTAAATTTGAAAGCAGATAGAATTCACTTGCCTTGAATTCAACTTAAAAAAATATCTTTAATAAGGACTGAGGCATTGAGAAAAATAGCGAATTTTATGATGAAGCATTACTCATCGGAACAACAGTAAAAAGAAAAGTAAAGAAGCGGTGAATCATTCAGCATTAGTCATCAAGTTTGGATTAGATTTGGTGCATTTAATACGATAAGAAYAGTAGCACCTGCGAAATGAGGTTTTTTCCTCAATGACGGGGGAAAGTTAAAGATGACGAAGCGCTATGAGAAACGTTTTGAATCTTCAGTTGGTCTTGATGTTGACCATGTTGTCATGACGATATTTGGATCTAGATTTTACGATACGTGCATACTTGAGCGCCACAACACCTCCACAAAAAAAGAAATTAAACTTGAGGATTAAATTTYTCGAATCTTTTCTTCAGAATTTCCGTCTCGCAGAGGACAACAGTGCCTCCCAAAGCGCATTACGACAGGAATGCTCCAAACCTCTTGGATATTTTTCCCAGCCCTCATTTTAGTAGACGTAACGAACCCTTCCCAGGGATTGACAAAGTCTCGCCCTTCCTTTCTAATGCAATGCTGAGACATGGCAGCAACTCGATACGAGTCGATGTATCTCTTTCCTGTAACATGAACTTGATCAAGCTCTTGTTTCAAAACATCTTCACCGCGCCTTCTTCCTTAATTTCTAAATTTTAGAGCAAAGATGGGAAAAATATTCTTTACATTGTCAGAGTTTGKTGGTAAACTGATCAATTCTTATTCAAGCTGTATTTGCGAATTTTTTTTCGCATAAAAACTGGGAGTTAGGCGACAGCATCCTTTGTCTTTCGCCTCGTGGTCAGTTAATGAAATATGGTACGTAATTATGGTGCCTCGGGTTTCGGTGAAATACAAAAGGTATACGAGAAAAATAGGAAATGCGTTTTGAAAAATAAATAATCTCTTAGATTACGAACTGCACGTATTTGCATGTGTTGCCCTCTACAAACGAATAAAGCTGAATGAACGTCATCGTTCTTCTCACTCAAACGTCAACAAAACCTTCCTAAGAGATTCTTAACAACCATATTATCAAAACACAGTTGAATACGCCATTTATTCGGACCAATGGAATTGCTATTCGTTATTAAACACCAAAGGATTGTTTCCGGATCTGCTGTGATTTTTAAGTGAGGATTCGAGTGATAGGCCTTCGCTTTTGAATTTTCTACCCTTGGGTTAGCGTCGAATACACACACGACCAATAGGAAGTTGTTACAAGCTCTTTAGGGTGAAGACGTCATGACAAATGAAAGGTTTCTAACGAGATGATCATTAGAGCAATCGAGTTGGGGGTTGATACAAATGACGAAGATTTTATCCCACCTCAGGCTTTCGGCTTCAAGACAGAGAAAAAACGAGAAAAATGTTGCTTTAAGAGAGAAAAATGTTGTTTCAAAAATTAGGAAGGATACACACGAAACGTATCCTTGGTGATGGAATGAATAAATGAATGAATGGATAAACGAAAGAACGAACGAATGAACGAACGGACGGACGAATGGATGAGCGCAAGGAATGAATGTATGAACGAACGAATGAAAAAAAGAACGAATGAAATAAATTTTTAGTACAACTACTGGCTAAAAACATGTCTCTCTAGTGAAAGCCCCAAAATATCATTTCAAAACAAATGATATATTAATGCATTACGGAAAAATCCCGTCAACCAATTTATCATTACTAAAGAGCCGTATCGCTTGAGGAAATCCCACTGACGTGAATACGCTACAATGAACCCTTTGAAGTAAGCGATTGTTACATTAAACAAAGCACGTACGACGACGCTTGTCATTACTAGAAAGACTGTTTTGGGGATTCACGCCGAGCAGAAACCTTATATTCACCTCACAAAGAAAACATTTTTTACCCTAAGAAAATACAGTACGTGCAGGAAAAATAAACAAAACATTTAGGGGCCTAAGAATTTTGTTTGTCGCCACTCGCCACGTCCTATATCTAATTAATACYAAAAGTACGAAAATAAACACCATGAGTGGGCAACTTTAGCCTCATTTGAATATACATAGTCCCTCATAGCACGCTCGCACCGAGGSCCATGGATTTGCGCCCCACCACCAAAGAGTTAGCGAGTGCGACTTGGTGCGAAACTGTGCGCAAAACGAATACTCCCTAACCAGCTWGCGCACTGTGCGTTTTATGCCGATGAGTGAATCGCACTGACCTGTTTATCACGAAACGAACGCTTCACTTTGCCTCGAACATCACGATTATGACGCATCATCATGAAGTTCTGTTTTCTTCTTTTCTCCTGGGAAAGAAAGGAATAAAGAGATTTAGCGATGATGATCGATAATTTGGGCTTTTTCGAATTCCTTCCTTCCTTCCCTCCCCTTTTCCTGTTTCTCCCAACCTCCTACTTCCTTGTCATTCATTCACCATTCCTTTCTTCCCTTGCCGGTATCTGTTTCCTTTCCCATCCCATCCCTCCTTTTCCCTTCCATTCTCACCTTATTGGTTGTGCTGGCATGTTCGTTCATCTTCTTCTTCGTCTTGCTTCCAAATTTCGGTCTATCTTGTCGACCAGCCTGAAACCCCCAAAAAAACACTTTTTWAAAAAACTAGATTTCAAAAAATCTCATTTATTTTTTTCCCCAGTCACGCATCATAACGCGTTACAAGATAGCTTTGTTATACCGGAAATCCCTCCAATGATCCGTTCATGTCCACTCGCTATCAGCAGGAAACTGCAACACGTCTCAAACGATAACATTACAACATGATTAACCTGATTGAGGTCAGATAAACAGACGAACATGACTGTAATGTGTTAGAGTCATCAAGTTGTTATACTTCACTCCGATAAACTCTTCTGAAAGTTTTTCAAATACCGCGCACTTTGACTTCAGTCTGCAGTCACTCAACAAGATCAAGCCTTTTTTTGTTGATACCCGAAGAGCATCTCAACAGTTCCAAAGATGAAACAAAGGATTTTTTAAATTTTTTTTCAAAGTTCGGCAGATGCGGCTTTTCCAGATTTACTTTGCCCCGCTGTAAGAGCCGAGACATTTCGGGATAAATGATCAGCCAAACATCACGTGAAGGGGTTTTGGTTTCCGGAATTGAAGGTTAGACTTTAGATTACTAGGCTCCTACAAAGACCCTTGAAATCACTCCTTATTTTGGGTTAACTGAATCACTAGGAAACCAAAACCACAGAATAACATTCCCCTTCGGTTCGAGAAGTCTTAAAAGACGGTGGAAAATAGTGAATTTAATAAGTTCAACGCATGCGCCGTAATATATTTTGCAGTCAGTATTTAAGGAATTTTCAGTAGAGGATTACGTGATGGCTTGGACGTGACTCTTTAAGTCCTATTTATAAGCTCAAAAGAATAACGATCAAATGATTTCCTGTAAATGTTTTGAAAACGCATATGTTTGAAGCACCGCTTTCATCAGGGCTAGACGATAGATTGCACGAAGATGCAGGTCATTTGGTTCAAGTTTTGTATGTTTTAGCGTAGGACTTAGCAGTCTTTTATTTTCTTTCTTTTCTTTTTTCTCTCTTTCTCTCTTTATTTCTTTCTTTCTTTCTTTCTTTCTTTCTTTCTTTCTTTCTTTCTTTCTTTCTTTCTTTCTTTCTTCCTTCCCTCCTTCCTTCCTTTCCTTTCTGTTTGACTGCCTATTTGTTTATTTGCCATCGCACACAATATCTTGTAACACCTCTATTATTATAACTGAACTTACGATAACAGTTTCCATTCTTGATGCTTTATCGTGTTTTCTCTTCTTGTAGATTTGTTCTATGTTTCCTAAAGAAACAAGTTCACTCCTGAAAGACATAATAAAGTCGCGTCGTAAATTAACTGCGCAAGCTTGCGCACTCGGTATGATCGGTGTGCTACTACACTAAACTGAGTATCAGGTCCCAGGGGAGGGGGGAGGGRGACTTTCATACAAAGTGCGCGCTTTAGCATGTGTTTTATTAATAGTGCGTCTATGATCTAATAACAGCAACTTCGTCATCCACTAGGTTGCTTTAACTATGGATCAAAAATAGCGCAGAGAATTTCACACAGATGCATAAACTGCGAACTGRACATATACAACGAGYTATGGAGTTTTTATATGCRAATTGCTGGTTTTCAATCATTCCCAAGACGATGAAATAACAAAAGGCACGGCGGCCATGTTGGATGATATAACAAAAGAATTCATTGACAATTCTTTTGTTAAATTCATCCAACATGGCAGCTGTGAAAACCATAAATTGCGCTAAACAAGAGAGGTCCAGCGCATTGCATATGATAACCTCAGTYATGGCATAATTTGTATGTATACAAAAATACCTTTCCCCGAGTTGTGTAGGAGYTTCTGCTGTCGAAGCTCGTTTTCTCTTCTTCCCTACTTTTGGTTGCAGTTCTTTCGACATYTGTTTTAGTTGTATCTTTTGGAAGTCTTCATCTGTTAGAATCTATCAATAGATATATCAATAACAATTTTTACAAGGGGTTCTAGAAAGAATACTTGCCAAAAGMAATTTCTACTTGTTCAGATCAATTTTGTACGTGGCGTGTAAAATCGAAACAATTGCATTTCTAAACTTTTAATGTTACTTCAAGAATCATGTACGGGGATAATGCAATGAAAATGTATAAAGCATTGGCTTACTTACTCTTATTTGACTTATCTTTGCTGCTTTGGAATGGATGTCCTCCTCTCCACCTTTCTTTTCATCATTGTCTTCGCCCTCTTCATCACCATCACCACCATCATCACTACCACTATCATCATCATTCTCCTTTAACCAAAGACATTGAAGATTATAAACTTAGACATTTCTTTAAGAAAATTTTGACATTCACTCAGTAGTCATTCAGTAGTTAGTTGACTCATGAGTAGAGGTTACTAGTTGGGACTCAACAGTGTGTCAAATACAACAGGTTAATAAGAATGACTAGTGGTTATTAGTTGGGACTGTGTGGTTGTGTCGAATACAACAGGTCAATAGGAAGAAAAATTCCTTCATTGAAGTTTATTTGTATATTATACAATTTAATTATATCTAACTCATCGCATTACCTCCTCCTCTTCTTCTTCTTCCTCTTCTTCTTCCTCTTCTTCTTCTTCTTCGTCAGAGGAATGCTGTACATCAATCCATTCACCATCGCTGTCATCTTCTTCACTTTCCCATTCTGTTAGGGGAAAAA